ATGTTTAACCATGGAATATTTAAAGGTTGAACATGACTTTACCTACACTAATAGTTTGGCATAGGATTTTTGCAAGGTATTAAAAGCAGTTAAGAAAGTAATATGCTGGCTAGTGCGCTAGTGGTTATGTCGTAAGTGTAATCATTGACTTTTATTAACACAACCAGGAAGATTTACAAGCGGGTTGGTTGGCAATGGAAGTAGAACAGTAGGCTACTGTTACGTCGTAAATCATTGTTATCAAGTCGTAAATCTGTATTATCTCTTGTAAAACAAATGTAAAGAAAAGTCGCGCGTCACTTATGTTGGTGGTGTTAGCAGTGTTGCCAAATGTGGGTATTTTACTCAATTTCCGGGATATATTCAGTTTTATATTAAGGCTAAACAAATAGTTGATTTTTCATATAACTTATATCAGGCTGTGTAAAAAAGATATTTATGGCCGACGCTCTTGAAAAATGCAAACTCTTAGCATAACAACACCTGTTCTGAATTAAACAAGGTTTTAACCACGGATATTAGAATAGAAACAATATGGATCCATGGAGGAAGGAAAAAACATAAGTGTGCTACCCGTCATATGCTGACGTCACCCAGATTGCAAACAAAAAATCAGCTGATTGTATCGCCATATACAATATATATTGGTTTTGATTTGATTGTTATTATTTTTATATTTTTTTCTAAATATTGTTTGCAATCTGGGTGACGTCAGCATATGACGGGAATAGCACACCTATGTTTTTTCCTTCCACCATGATATGGATCATAAACACAAACAAATGACGTTACTGGTCAGGAAGTAAACATGTTTGTATTATTATTACATGAAACGGTCAAAAACGTCCAAACCAGCCGTTAAGGCTGTTCGTAGAGTCGGGCTAGTGACGTCATTTGCTTGAGCTTATTATCACCATCGATTATCACGCCGTTTCTGTTCTAATATCCGTTCGCGGTTTAGGTCTACCAATTATCAATTATTTAAGATGGGGACGCTACTATGTGCGTATTTTAACCCAAATATGAGTGAAGGATGAGTGTAGGATAAGTGGCGCGATCTTGTAGTCTTCCGTCTCTCTACTAACCTTGGGCCTACCCAGCATGGGCTCAACTCTAGTAGCATACTAAATAAGTTTATGTAAATTGAATTTCCTTGATTTTCATACGTCCAAATTTGCTCTGTTATGAGAAAAGCAAACTCTTTTTATTTTATGTTTTATTATTAAAGAATACGTTAAAAATGACTATAGCGATGCAAGCACCCGATACGGGTATTTTAGATATTTTGGGGAAATCGGATATTTTTAGCATTATTTCGGGGAAATCAGTATACTGTTGGCAGAATTTGGTTTGAGGAAGGATGGTTCATTATGTAATGTCTCGAGAGTCTCTCAACATTGCGATGAAAGTACAGTAATTAACAGTAAGTCGCCAGACGAAATGTTTAGTCGGATGTCGTTAGACTAACGATAACATTGTTACTTTATAACATTATATTTACCTTTGTTGTTTGTTGTTGTTGGCCAAGTTGTTGTAGGTGAGATATTTGTGTCGCCCTATGTATTTATTTCATCACCTAGGCATCTTAATGGGTCTCCTTGTTAATTCATCTTCTTATCGAGTAGTATCATTTTCTTAAGTAGTTGGTCTTAAATCAACAAACTTTATTTATTGTAAATTAGTAGTTTCGTTCATCTAATGAATAGTAGTAAACCAGCAGTAAACCACTTAAATATTTGAAATACAAAGGGTAGGCCTATTGCGGATTTTGTTTTGCTTCGGAAATAAGATTTGAGCCCAATTAAGATGCGCAACTTGAGCTCGCGCCCCCGTCGTAATACCATAGATAAAACATACTCCCTTGTAATACATAAAAATGGAAGTCGAAATTTATAATTTTATAATATAATAGCTAATATCTGGATGCTAGACTGATATCACAGTAGCACAGCTGGTGAAGACGATATACTGCACTGTAAGTGAATTAGACGCAAATTCTGTTGGTTGTTGACAGTTATATTTTCTGTGCAAAATATCGAGAACTTTAAGAAACACACATTTTGAATAACTATTTGCTATTTGAGAGAAATTTTACTAAGAATGTTTGTTGATTATAATAATACCATAGACTTTAACCAACACAAGTAGACTTCTTATCCCGTTACCATTGGAAATTTTTACGCTCCGTTTTTCGTGTCTAGTTCATGTCCGGTGTCACTGATCGCTAGTGTCGACGAAATTGTGTTTGTATTATTTTAGGGGTATTTTTTATTTACTGTTTGGTTATATAACTAGGGGACGAGCTATTGTTTATGATTACATCGTTTTATGAGGTTTTAAATTACTGAAATAACAAGAAACAAATTGTAAACAATTACGACCTCTACAGTGCACCGTGCAGAGTTAACAATAAAACTGTCTTCAGCTATTCCATAAGGATGAGAAATCTACTAAGGGAGTATTTTGTATCGTTGACAATACAAAATACAAATTTGTATAGACTAACTAGGCCTATAGCTAGTTTTAAATCAATGTAAACATAATTGAAAGATCTATTTAAGTACATTTTCAATTTAAAATTATTAAGCAGTTGGAAATTGGAATGTAACAAAACAAGAGTTGATAAAGCAGCACTCTCTCATCTCTGTCGTTCAAATTGGATGAGAAATCTACTAAGGGAGTATTTTGTATCGTTGACAATACAAAATACAAATTTGTATAGACTAACTAGGCCTATAGCTAGTTTTAAATCAATGTAAACATAATTGAAAGATCTATTTAAGTACATTTTCAATTTAAAATTATTAAGCAGTTGGAAATTGGAATGTAACAAAACAAGAGTTGATAAAGCAGCACTCTCTCATCTCTGTCGTTCAAATTGAACTAAGTTTTTTTTTAATTCAAATTATAGCCTAATCAAAAATCGGGATAATATTTATCTACGAATTTAACAGAGAATGAGATTTAGTATACTTCAAAGTGGTGTGTGTAGAGACAAAGAAATTAGGCTTTTTGTTTAAGAGGCATTGTTGTTCAAACTGATGATTCATTTCTTTCAGACGACTCCTAACTATACAAATACAATATCACTGGCTGACTCTTTGCCTGTTCAATGTCATACCAAGGTCAACTCTCCTATCCTCATTATATCCTGTCTTCAGACGTTTCAGTTGTAAACTTGAACTGCATGGTTAAAGAACATAATACATTAATATAAGGTTTTTTTTGTGAATTAGCCGCCTTGACTTCCAAAGGCTGGTACTGTATTGAACCTTTGACTATTGATCGATTAAGTTTATCTGATTTGAGGGGAAACAATTTCATCTCCTCCACTTCAACCTAACAATGAAACAACGGCCCAACAGCTGATCAGCTTATATATACATTAGGTAGGCCTTAACCTAAAAAATGTTAGAAGAAACCAGGAAGAGACCTCATGAACCGAAGTCCCACGCTCTAACTACTAGACCATCTCGCTCCCCGAGTTTAGAGGTTTTGAGGAAGGTGTTATGTACTCATCCTTTGGTTTTTTAACATCACAATGTAGATTTTCTTTGACTTTACGTGAGGTGAGAGTGGTATGACTGATAGTTTTGTCCTCACTTCCACTCCTGGTCTGAATCTTAAGCAGGCCTTCAATGATTTCTCCTTGGATTGCGTCCAAACTGGTTTTGTAAATTACATTCATACAATTGAGGACTGTTTGTGTTATGTATGTTTTGTAACTCAGGTGTATTTAATCTCTTTTCAATACAACCTAGAGCTTTTAGATCCAGGCTGAAGAAAATGTATAGTTGTAAATAGCCAAAATCTTGTAAATAGAAGGTTGACTAGTATTTTGTTTTGTCATTAGTTTTAAGTTAGGATTAGTTAATCAATAAGAGTCATCCTGTAAAACAGTTTTTACTGATGAGCTTTGCTAATAAAAGGCATTTTTATTTTATTTATTTATTTATTTTTATAGTCCTGCAATGGATTTTTTTAAAATTAATTGATAAAAATATTATTTTACATAATCATATTTTTTATTGGATTTATTGTTTGTTCAGTCTACCTTTGCTTTATTGTGTTTTTATGTGTTTACGGTATCTATGTCAATGGCACTTTTTAGCGTTATAAGTTTTGAAAGTTTTTGAACAATCCAAGCTCTGGTCTCGTCACTGTCTAACCAACTGGTGACCTTTTAGCGAATTTCCCTATAGGGAAGTAGTTATTCCCACAGGTGGCACGTATATATATATATATATATGTTTGTCCGTGAACACGATAACTTGAGTTATTTTTGTCCGATTTTGAGGAAATTAAAGATGTAGGGCAGGATAGTTGCGAACCAGTTGATCGAACCTTGGGAACAGGGTTTTATGGAGTAAAAATCGGGTTTTCTTATTTTTGGCCCTCAAAACATAATTTTTTCCAATTTCTCTTTAAACCATTTTAAAGAGCTTAAAACAAATAATTTAGTATATTGAAGTGTTTTTTACGGTTATTAGTTGTAGAGAAAATTCCAAAAAATTGTAAATTTTAAATTCCCCTGTTATTCTCATGGAGAATAAGTAAATTGTTGTAGTTTGCTGGTTAATAGTTTTTTTGATCAGATTTGGCAAATTTATTGATTTTATACTTGGCTATTAATATTTGACTAAAAACACACTTCATTGCCCTCCCTGTAGCAGCAAACCTAGGTCCTTGTTAAACCTATTGTTATTGAAATAAATTTAATTTAAAAATCCAATCAGGCAAATGGATATTTGCTTAGTATGCAGTTTTCCGGCTGCAGGAGTATTTTTTAGATCCCATGATTAATTAATTCAAAGCCAAATCAATTTTTTTTATGAAAGGAACTTATTTAAGCTTTTTGCAGACGTGCTGCAGAACTCTTGCTGTAGATTCTTAGAGTACAGTCTCCAGCAGTGCCCAATGTTGCTGCAGAGAACGGCATTTTTACAGTTGAACTAAACACAATTGATAAAACCAAAGCTACATATTAAACTTTGTTGCAGATCCCCTTGGAGATGGCTATTCGAATGAACACAATCACAGACGAGAAACAACTTTTCAGAGAATTCATCAAACCAGATGTGGAAAAGCCGGTTATAAAAGTTGCTAAATTCCCTTTAAGTTTTGGATTTGGACCTGACTCAGGTAAGCGACTAGCTAAATTTCCACTTTAACTGTATTCGAACCACTCACTCGTTGTTAAATCAATTAAATTGGTTTTAACAGCTGATAAGTTGACGTTCTAAGTATTACAATTTTACTTCTTTTCTCTCAATTCTTGAACTTCATTGGTCCTAACTTGTTTTGTAAAGTAACAAAACAATAACTGTAAAGTAAGTAAACAATACTCCAAAGTGAATATTTTTAATTCTAAGAACTTAATTGAATAGGTTTGTTTAAAAACCAGTCGTAGATAGGGGCCTAAAATGCATTTCTACTTTCAATGGGTAATATCTATAGTTGTTGGAAAATAATTTAACTAACAGTGCTTGCTAATATCTGTTATTCAACTTCTTGACGTAGAATTGAAACGTGAGTAAGTAGGGCTTAGTACAATCTTAATGTTTTTCTCCATAACATTAGTTTTACACTCAAGATAATGTCGGTGCCAATATGTCAAGTGTTTGCGTAAGAAGTGTGACTCACACTTCACTTCACTTTTAGTCATTGTGTTGACATTTTAATCATAAATAAAATCTCGAGCAAGCTCATAATTTTACAATTGTAGAACTATCTGACTATTCTGGTAGTTATAATATTCTAGATTGTCCACTGAATCATGTCTTTTTATAGATATTTGAGATAAAATATTGCGTTTGGACTATTAAACATGTTTATAAGTTATCTATATAAATAAAATTAGAGTTTTGTCTGCACATTGTTCAGAATTATGTATTTTGTTTCATTATTTTTACGTTTTTTAGTCATTGGTTTTATACAAAGAAGAAAAGTCTTATCTCAATCTCTGCCTGTCTGTCACGGCCCAGAAGACCTTTTACTCGGCCTTCTCCATAAAAAACTATCGGGATTGAAAACATTTTTGACAATGTCTTTAGCTATTGAAAAGTAAATTAACTTTTTTTAAAGAATGATCGTTCAAAAACCCAGTATTGTGCTATTTTGGTCACATTTCTTCTAAATTTTACCACCACACAATAAATCATGTGATTTATCATGACATATCAATCAGCTGTTCTCAAATATTCTCTTTGATAACTGTAACTGAACTGTTTACTTTCTAATATTAAGTAAATATTGATTCATGGTCTCCATGGTAACAGAATAACAAACCCACACAGTTTAAATGTAAACAAGCAGAACTGTCAAATGAATTTTGACAACGCAGCTGAATTCCACACAGCTGATTCAAACATAACTGCATGACTATTACAACATAATTAGTCAGAAATAATATACAGATCATAAACATAAATAAATGATGTCACTCGCCCGAATGTAAACATTATCATGACTTATATGGAACTGTCAAACCATATGTTAGTGTTATTAGTATAGGATTCATTCAGTTCCGTTATTTGTTTATGTTTATGATCTACACCGAGTTTTATGGGAATTATCTTATCCAGATATATTTTTTACGCCACACTACATTATTTTGACAAACTTCCCACGGAAGGATTTAGTCCAGAAAACAGCTGTTTGCCGCCAGCTTATTCAAATGGGGTTTCATTGCGTACTACTGTACTGTAATGAGTTTTACCGGACACCAATCAGCTGATTATACTGTATTTAGGTGGCAATGAATGGTTATAAACAAAAACATAACCTCTCTTAGAGGTTATGACTAGTGATTTGTAGTCCTTTAGTTTGGTGGAAATATATAAGGATTTTTACAGATTTATTAGTATGGAGTAAACTATCGTACGAAACTCGTCCAAAATGTGTGTACCGGACTCGTATGGTCATCCCGTACTCGACTTCGTCTCGCACGGGAACGACCACACTCGTCCGGTAAACACTTATTTTCAGGACTAGTAACGTAATATACTATTGTGGAAACAGTAATAAAATAAAAATATTGTTATTTTTGGGACTATTGCGATGGCTTTTGTTTACAGGACAAACTACTCACTATGTTGTTTGGTTATACTGTACCTTAAAATCTATCATTGATTTTTGATACTGTGACAAGCAGAAGTATAAATTTTGTATCCTATTGTTATATCTTAAGTCTTTTTTGATCTGTGTCTCATGTATACTTTTGTGTTGGAAATAAATGTATTCTTATTTAAATGTAAACTTGATCATGCATGGTACCTATATTGTTTTATACATTGCGGTCCATTTATATTTATTATTATAGCGTAAAATACGCTATTTACACAAATAATATATTTCAAACAAGTATGATCCTATTATAATCTTGGTAAAGTGAATTGTTACAAAGTTACTAAATGTTAAAAGTGGATGCTTGTTTTCAGTTAGATGCAAAGCAAGACCTGGCAAAGATGTTATCCCTTCAAGGCTTTATCACTTACAGTGGCCACTAAAATCACAATTTGCTTTACAGGAAAAAAACACCATTCTGTACACACACAAAATATTTTTTATAGTAATAAATAAGTATTTTCTAAACAAATATTTTTGCACTTTTGATCTTTTGTAAAATATCTTTAACTGTTTACTTTAGCAATGTTATAAAGAATACCATATTAAAAAAATTAAAAATGAACAAAAAATATGCAAATTTTTTTAAGTACGGTGTATCTTACAGTTTCAGATGGTGTTCCAAAGCCGTCGGAGGAAGAGCCTGTTGAACGAAGTAAGTATTATATCACTATATCATTTAAACTACTTTGTCATACTTTCGTTAGAAGGCCACATGTTAATTCACAGAAATTGCTTTTAGCGAATATCCCATATTGGGAATAAGCTATTTTTAAATTGTTTTTAGAAGGTCTATAAAAGTTTAATCAAACTATTATTGATAATTTGGTGCGTACACTTGATAGAATTTTTTTTTTCATTTTCACAAGATTTTATTCTATGTTTTTCTATTGGTTAGTTGTAGAATATAAGTGATGAACCCTTAGAGGCTAGTGTACATCCCTCCTAAACCAAGTCAAAAGTCATCATAGGTATCTGTGACCACGGCATAATCATGAACCTCCCCCACGGGCCGCAACAAAGGGATATCATCCTCAACACTTGCGACTGCGGGAAATCGTGATCATATCCCATGAGCTATGACCTAGAGGACAACATCACCGTCACCCGCAACCGCAATGAATTCATGAACATCTCCTGTGAGCTCTCTTACAGTGTTTTTCTGCCCTTCATATTCATATTCATTTGAGATGGAGACTCAATCTATGTGTGTATTTTAACACAAATATGAGTGAAGAAGGATCAGTCTAGAATAGAGTGTGATGCCTTCTGAAGCTTTGTTACTGACTGAGACCAGCTGTTTCATCAGTCAGGACCATTTTTTAATGCCCAATGATCAAGGACACCTGGGTCCAGTTTCGAACCATCAAAACATTACACACTTTTCTCAGAATCGAACCGGCAACCTTCATTAAGGATCATCTTCAGCTTAACTCTTTAAGTTTTGTCCCAGAGAACTGGATGTGTCGATCAATTTAGTGGTAAAATCTTGTTGAACAAAGTTCAAAAGGATTTTAAACAACATAAAAAGAGCAGATATACATAAAAATAACAACATCGGTCAAATAGAAGTTGAGATTGAAGCAATGTTAACATGTAAAGTAGTGCCAAAACTGGCACTTGATTCGGTCAACAAATATCAAAGTTTCAGTATGTGTCCATCTGGTTTCTTAAATTGTGGGAGTGGTTGTATAGTGGTTGTAATAAAAGTGTCTGTTATAGAAGCTGTAGTCAAGCCCAAGCCAGCCCAGTGTATACCTGAGCTAAAGACAATCAGTCTGAGAGAGACAGAGGACCCATGGATCTACTACTGGCCTGAGTGTACCAGACTAGAGCAATGTGGTGGTTGTTGTATACACAAGCAGCTTAGCTGCCAACCCATAGAGACTGAAACTGTCAACTTTCAGGTAGGCCTTGGTCACATTCCTTAACGGTACCTACTATCTATTTTTTTATGTTGAAAATGCTTGTGAACTGATGTTTTTTTACTTTTCTTTTGATTACTTGCCGAGTCTGTAACTTTCCAAAAATATCCCACACCTTTTCTCTTGTCAAAAATTATCACCTACTTACTATCTGAATACGAATTGGCATAGTGGCAAAAAATACTGTTACTACGATCAATCCATATTCATCCCAATCTGATTCTTTTAGAAATGAAAGGGTCATCAAGGAAAATAGCGGAAGAGATGTTTTGTCATGAATCTCAGGCTCAATCTCTTTGACTTGTTGGTAAAATATTTTAGTATTGCTGTACATGTAACCTAAACCCATCGGGAAGTGATCTTGTTTCATAACCTGACTTGATGTGATTGTTACAGGTGACTGTCCTGGAATATGCTGGAAACCAAATGATCTACAAAGGAAAAGAGATAATCAGCAGAGAGAAGCACACAAAGTGCAAGTGTGACTGTATAGTCAAGGAGAAGGTTGGTATTGTCTATCACGTTAATACCTCGGTATTATGACGATTATCTAAAATCTAAGGTATTGTACATTTAACAATGGTAAGGATTGACTTTCTTATTCCTGCTTGGCACTGAAGGTTCTTGTAGATTCCGTTTCCTCTTCAGGACCGGATTTAGAATCATCTTCTTCCACGTCCTTCTTCCTGTACATATCTCCTCTGCAGCCAACTGTTAGAGGCAGTAATCTACAGAAAACAACTCATTCATTCCACACTCATTGTTTATTCATATTTTGGTAAAAATATAGCAATTTGTGTCCCCATTAACCCTCGAGGGGAGTTAAGACCTGTTGACAATGAATTGTTTTATTTTTTTTATCATTTATTGCTATAGCAATATCCTCCCTTCCTGTGTATTTCATTTTTTAAATTATAAATATAAACATAGATGCTATTAAGTGTCCATCACAATTAGGCTGATAAAACCTTATGATTCTAGTAATTTCTAGTAATGTTCTAGTAATTTTGAATTTTCTCAGGATTGCAATGAACGTCAGGAGTATCGTAAAAGTGAATGTCGCTGTTTTTGTACCAACAAAGATGCTGAAGCAAAATGCAACGATGACCCCAAGAAACACTGGAATCCGGATAGTTGCTCCTGTGAGTGCCTCAGTGTGGTTGAGTGTTCGTCTGGAACATATTACGACCCATCGAGTTGCAGGTAAATTTATATTTTAATTAACGAGTTCATTTAAAATTTAACAATTACAATTGGTGAGTCAGTGGCTCAGTCTTTACTTTGGGCCATGGGCAGACTTGGCCTGTTCACGACCCTGTCAGCGCCCTCGGCACAACTAATAGTAGCTCCCCTTCCAACAGCTGGAATATTGTTTGTAAAGGTAGTTTGCAGGACCACCATTACGAATTCCTCCACACCCCCTTCCCTACCGCATAGCCCCTTATTTAAGGCCTCGTCCTTGCTGGGTTACTATTGAAATGCAAGCCACGCACACATACGCGCGACCGATGAGGCAAACAGAACGAGTATCACAAATACATGGTGAGATATAAGCTTGTCCTAAGCGGGTGACATGCGTGATGGTGGCAAAGGTTTAATGCAGGAAAATGTGAGCGAACACCTGACGCGGTAGTCGCGCGCTGAATTCATTTTTGCACTTAAGGAAAGATGTCTTCATCGCTGATGTAACTTGCATAGCATTGATCTAAAATGCCAGTTTTGGTTCAGAAGGAAATTTTCCCTTAACTCTCATACTAAATTTTTTTTCACATTTGTACACATTTTATTTTATCATCAATTTTATCCTTAGTTTCTTTGAGAGCCTTTCCATTATAACTTTAGACCCCACGCCCCACGTGTCTTGTACTGGCAACTGATAGCCGAGTGGTGTACCTAGCTGGTCTCTATCTGTCGGGAAAATGCAGAGCACGTACCTCAAGGACCATACCCACCCTCCCTTCTTGTAATTTAAATTATTTGCAGTATTTACACGATTTGTCCAATCTCTTATTCGTTGGTTTATTTTTGGTTTGTTAGACATTTTTTTTCCACTAGACTAGAAACTCATACTATAGGAATTTTTCTGGTTTTTCGTGTTGCAAAGTTGTCAATAATGTTTTTGTAATCTGGTTTTAAAGTAATATACAACAACAATAAACAATAACAACAATAAAGTAGGTCGTGCTTAACAACAATAAACCACTACGCTTTTCATCAAGCATTGACAATCTTATTTCTGCTTTTACTCTTTCAATGCTGAAAAGCTTTGTTCTACTGAGCAGTTTTTAACAGGTAAGGTTAAATATATCCTGGCACTTTGAAATTGAAGAAAGTGCTCTCTAATTGGTTTGATTTTATATAGGTATACATTTCTTTGACTTTTGTTATGTTGTCCAAAATCATGAACTGTTTGAAATGGTTGCATTTCTGCGAAAAGTCTTGTCCGTCAATAACTTTCTGGTATTTCTCGCCTAATAGTTTAGCCTCACAAGCCACCTCTTGGGAATTTTTGATTTGCAAATCCTGGAATATCTTGAATCTTGAGTCAAGATTTTTACAGCCCTCTCTTCTTTTTTCTAGCTGTACTAGGTTGTCAATTATCGCAACAAATACTTCAGTACAGAATCTCGCTCTAGGAGACATTTTTTCCATTCTAGTATCTGGGCTTTCATCAGGAAAAAAATAATTTTCTTATCCTCTACTTGCCATATACAGGTTCTTCTTTGCCTGCAAGTCTTAATGCTCTTGACTCGTAGTCATCAAACGAGTCTCTTTTTTCTTACAAAAACGAAGATAGTGTTTCAAGTTCCTTTGTAGCACCAGGTCTAGGTCTTGATTTTGAAGAGTCTTGCTTGTCTTGTTCACCCTTTCAAGTATCTCATCCCAGATGACAGTTAGTATCGTGGTTAGGTAATTACCAAGAATTTTCAAATACCCGGCGTTTGAGACTCTTGTCGCTGGTGTCTTAGTATTGTCTGCATACTGTTCAAGAGCGTCTTTCAATACATGCTGACTTATGATCAGAGCTTGAAGTGTGTCTGCTCTGGCAGACCATCTTGTGTCACTCAATCGTTTAGTCAAACGCTTTCTCTGATCTGTTTTTTATTTTCCTTCATTACTCTTTTCAGCGTGATTTTTTAAAACGTTCCATCTATGGGTGGATGTCGAGAAAAACCATACAGTCCTGGTGGAAAGGGGAAAATATGGTTGCTTCTGGACATGCCTTCTCAGCAACAAAACACCCAGCTAGGTTGAGTGAGTGAGCTGCACATGGTAAATAAACAGCAAGATAGTTTTTACTTTTAATCTTCGCCTCGAGACCTGAGTATATGCTCGACACATTGGACGCATTATCGTAGCTTTTCCCACGACAACATTCAACTCAAGTTTCTCTAGTATATTTAGTGTAGCTTCCTCTAAACTTCAGAGGATTTGTGTCATACTCTGGGTGAGAGTTGTATCAGACGTTCTTTGGCAAAAGCTAGCATTAGTCGGTATGCAGTGTGTGTGACACATCTGGTATGGAGTCTAGAGAGAAAAACGAGCTAGTTTGATTTTTTCTAAGATTTCCCTCGGTACTTCTTTACTCATAATCTCAATAAATTCACTGCAAATGTCGGATGGAAGGTACCTTTGCCTTTATTACCATATTTTGCTATAGTTGACCATGAAATTGATCGAATTCACTTATCATCTCAAGATATTCTGGAAAAAGTCTGTTTGATGTAGAACCAAGTCTTTGATTATCGCCTCTAAAAAGAAGACCGAGACTCGTTAAAAACTTTACAACAGACACAACTCGAGTCAATAAATCTCGCCAGTACACAGGGGGACTGGGCCTATTTCTTTGGCGGGAATTGTCGCCGGCAACCCTGCCACACTCGGCTGTTGTTCACGTCAGTCACGCAGCAGCCACGCTTCATTGTTTTTATAATTAAAAACTTACCTCAATGTTACTGCTAGTTTTTCTTCTGCACCAACACAATCACATAACTGAGTATCTGTCTTTTGTAAATTGTTTCTAATGTTTGAAAACAGTAAATCAAAAGATGCTATGGACATACGGTAATAATCAAAGAATTTATCCGGATAATCCTTGAGTCTTCGGTGTAACAAACAAATTTCCTTCACAAGGACGACTCATAATAATTGGAAGAACCCACCATTTTCTTTTCCAGTTTAGCCCTCTGCTTCGACAAAAAACATACTATTGCTGCTAAAAATTGAATTTTGAGTGACAAAACTCATCTTGCATAGTGCGTCTCGTATGGTTGTTGCAAGACAACTAACTGCCAAAGCCGATGATTTTTACTGCCAGAGTGGCACCTCTGGTCAATTTTTGCGCTACAGAAACTGGCATAAATAATAATAACCATAAGTTTATAACAGGGCGGTAATGATGAATAAGTTTGAAACAAGTACGAATAATATTAGCACCATAAGTTCTACGTAAGCAGATAGCACTTAATAATGCATTTCAAAGCGTCAAGGCTACTTGAAATATCAAAGCTAAATGTTGTAAATGTTATGTTCTGGAAAACGCATGTTGTAATAAAAATTTTTTTCTTGCAGTTGTGAGCCCCTTCCAACCGAAGTCTCCACCAACAACTCAGAAATTACACAGCCTCCTACCCGTCGAAGATGGCAACCTAACTACTCTTTCTTTGGATGAAAGTAAACTCTACCTGATAACGAAAATCATCAGTCATTTTATACCAAAACATCTACATCATTCGAGCTTTCCATGTATATATTGTATTTATTTAGTTATAGTTGTTTATAGACCTAGTTAAGATTATACATTTTTGGACAGTGCCGTTGCGTCTGGAAGGTGTATTTACTTATCTTAATTTTTCTGTTCGTTTATGTTTTCATAAAATGAACAAGAGTTTGTTGGCCAATGAATTGTTCCGTCCTGTAATCAGTGAAATTTTGTTTGTAAGTGAATTGTTGTGTATCTATGAACAAATAAATTTATTAAACGTTAACTTTTAATAGTAGTATTATTACTTAATTTAATTATTATTATTTAATAGTAGTACTATTTTAATAGTAGATAGGTAAGTAGGTGATAATTTTGGACAAGAGAAAGTTGTGGATAGTTTTGGAAAGTTACAGACTCAGCTAGTGATCAAAAGAAAAGGAAAGAACATCAGTTCACAAGCATTTTAAACATAACAAATAAATAGTAGGTACAGTAAGGAATGTGACCAAGGCCTACCTGAAAGTTGACAGTTTCAGTCTCTATGGGTTGGCAGCTAAGCTGTTTATGTATACAACATCCCCCACATTGCTCTAGTCTGGTACACTCAGGCCAGTAGTAGATCCACGGGTCCTCTGTCTCTCTCAGACTGATTGTCTTTAGCTCAGGTATGCACTGGGCTGGCTTGGGCTTGACTACAGCTTCTATAACAGACACTTTTATTACAACCACTATACAACCACTCCCACAATTTAAGAAACCAGATGGACACATACTGAAACTTTGATATTTGTTGACCGAATCAAGTGCCAGTTTTGGCACTACTTTACATGTTAACATTGCTTCAATCTCAACTTCTATTTGACCTATGTTGTTATTTTTATGTATATCTGCTCTTTTATGTTGTTTAAAATCCTTTTGATCTTTGTTCAACAAGATTTTACCACTAAATCGATTGACACATCCAGTTCTCTGGGACAAAACTTAAAGAGTTAAGCTGAAGATGATCCTTAATGAAGGTTGCCGGTTCGATTCTGAGAATAGAGTGTAGTGTTTTGATGGTTCGAAACTGGACCCAGGTGTCCTTGATCATTGGGCATTACAAAAATGGTCCTGACTGATGAAACAGCTGGTCTCAGTCAGTAACAAAGCGTAACAAGGCATCCCACTCCATTCTACACTGATCCTTCACTCATATTTGGGTTAAAATACACACATAGATTGAGTCTCCATCTCAAATGAATATACATCTATATATGTCCATATATATCTATATATGGATATGAAGGGCAGAAAAACACCGTAAGAGAGCTCATGGGAGATGTTCACTATGTCACTGCGGTCGCAAGTGTCGAGGATGATGTCCCTTTGTTGCAGCCCGCGGGGGATGTTCATGATTTTGCCGTGGTCACGGATACTTATGATGGTTTTGACTTGTTTTAGGAGAGATGTCCACGATTACAGGTGTCGATGATGATATCCCCTTGATGCATAGGAGATATTCACGATTACTTCCACGATCACAAGGAATTTCCACCACAGGGAGGGTTGAGGGGCCGCTGAAGTAATTTGGCCTAGGGCCGCAAGTACCCTAAATCCAGCACTGCCGTAGAGCAACAACATATCAACAACACTAGTTTCTAAGGGTTCATCACTCAAACATATTCTACAATTAACCAATAGAAAGACATAGAATAAAATGTTGTGAAAATTATAAAAAATTTAGTCAAGTGTACGCACCAAATTATAAATAACTTCTTGATCAGCATTGTACGTGTTATTAAATTTACGGAAAGTAAATAAAAGAAACGTCTTATAACACTTAAAAAACATATATCTACGCTTATACTGTTACTCACAAGACTGTAAATGTACAAAAGAGATGGTAAGTGGTGATCGATTTAGATTGGATACTCCAATCATCATCAGACCCAATAGGCGAATTTACATTGTGTACATTATGTCATTCGCCTATTGGGTCTGATGATGATTGGAGTGTCCAATCGAAATCGATCACCGGATCACACCTTACCATCTTTTTTGTATATTTACCGTCTTGTGAGTAACAGTGTATAAGCGTAAATATATGTTTTAAGTGTTATAAGACGTTTCTTTTATTTACTTTCCGCAAATTATAAATAATAGTCTGAAATCAATTAAAAAGCATTTTCTGTGATGTAACATGTGTCCTTCTATCGAAAGTATGACAAAGTTATATGATATAGTGAATACTTACTTCGTTCAACAGGCTCTTCCTCTGGCGGCTTTGGAACACCATCTGAAACTGTATAAGACAATATACTTTCAAAAATTAACATATTTTTTTCCATTTTTTGCATATGGTATTTTTTATAAAATTGCTAAAGTATACAGTTAAAGATATGACAAAAGGTCAAAAATGAAAATTTTCTATGTTTTTAAAAATATTTTTTTGGAAAATACTTAATTATTACAATAAACAATATTTTTTGTGTGTACAGAATGGTGTTTTTTTTCTGTAAAGCAAATTGTGATTTTAGTGGCCACTGTAAGTGATGAGGCCTTGAAGGGATAACATCTTTGCCAGGTCTTGCTTTGCATCTAACTGAAAACAAGCTTCCACTTTTAACATTTAGTAACTTTGTAACAATTCACTTTACCAAGATTATGATATGATCATACTTGTTTGAAATAGATTATTTAAATAGTGTATTTTACACTATATTAATAAATATAAATGAACTGCAATGTATAAAACAATATGCAATGATCAAGTTTATTAAAAATAAGAATACATTTACTTCCAACACTAAAGCACACCGATCATAAAAGACTTAAGATATAACAATAGGAGGCTGTATATAATTTAAATCCAAAATTTACACTTCTGCTTGTCACAGTATCAAAAATCAATGATAGATTTTAAGGTATAACCAAACAACATAGTGAGTAGTTTGTCATGTAAACAAAAAGCCATCACAATAGTAACCTAACAATATTTTAGTTTTATTACTGTTACCACAAAAAATATATCTGGAAGATAATTCTCATAACACTCGGTGTAGATCATAAACATAAACAAAATTATGGAACTGAACGGAATCCTATACTAATAACATTAACATATGGTTTGACAGTTCCATATAAGTCATGTTAAATAATGTTTACATTCAGGCGAGTGACACCATTTATTTATGTTTATGATAGATATACTATTTCTGACTAATTCTGTTGTAATAGTCATGCAGTTATGTTTGAATCAGCTGTGTGGAATTCAGCTGTGTTGTCAAAATTAATTTGACAGTTCTGCTTGTTTACATTTAAACTTTGTGGGTTCGTTATTTTGTTACCATGGAGACCATCAATCAATATTTACTTAATATTAGAACGTAAACAATTCAGTGACATCATAGAGAATATTTGAGAACAGCTGATTGATATGTCATGATAATTCACGTTATCTATTGTTGTGTGGTAGTAAAATTTAGAAGAAATGTGTCCAAAATAGCACAATACTGGGTTTTTTACCGATCATTCTGTAAAAAACAGTTAATTTAGTTTTCAAAGCTAAAGACATTGTCAAAAATGTTTTCAATACTGGTAAAAACTTAAATCCCGATCGATGCTCTCGTTTTTTCAGAAGATCGAGTAAAATGTCTTCCGGGCCGTGACAGACAGAAGGAGATTAAGATAAGCCTTTTTTCTTCTTTGTATAAAACCATTGACTAAAAAACGTAAAATAACAAAAAATATATAACTTTGAGCAATGAACAGACAAAACTCTAATTTTATTTATATAGATAACTTATAAACATGTTTATTAGTCCAAACGCAATATTTTATCTCAAATATCTATAAAAAGACATGATTCAGTGGACAATCTAGAATATTATAACTACCAGAATAGTCAGATAGTTCTACACTTCTAAAATTATGAGCTTGCTCGAGATTTGATTTATGATTAAAATGTCAACACAATGACTAAAAGCTGTGAGTCACACTTCTTACGCAAACACTTGACATATTGGCACCGACATTATCTTGAGTGTAAAACTAATGTTATGGAGAAAAACATTAAGATTGTACTAAGCCCTACTTACTCACGTTTCAATTCTACGTCAAGAAGTTGAATAACAGATATTAGCAAGCACTGTTAGTTAAATTATTTTTCCAACAACTGTAGATATTACCCATTGAAAGTAGAAATACATTTTATGCCCCTATCTACGACTGGTTTTTAAACTAGCCTTTTTAATTCAGTTCTTAGAATTAAAATATTCACTTTGCAGTATTGTTTACTTACTTTACAGTTATTGTTTTGTTACTTTACAGAACAAGTTAGGACCAATGAAGTTCAAGAATTGAGAGAAAAGAAGTAAATTTGTAATACTTTGAACATCGACTTATCAGCTGTTAAAACCAATTTAATTGATTTAACAACGAGTGAGTGGTACGGATACAGTTAAAGTGGAAATTTAGCTAGTCGCTTACCTGAGTCAGGTCCAAATCCAAAACTTAAAGGGAATTTAGCAACTTTTATAACCGGCTTTTCCACATCTGGTTTGATGAATTCTCTGAAAAGTTGTTTCTCGTCTGTGATTGTGTTCATTCGAATAGCCATCTCCAAGGGGATCTGCAACAAAGTTTAATATGTGTAGCTTTGGTTTTATCAATTGTGTTTAGTTCAACTGTAAAAATGCCGTTTTCTGCAGCAACATTGGGCACTGCTGGAGACTGTACTCTAAGAATGGTATCTAAAAAATACTTCTGCCGCCGCAAACCTGCTTACTAAGCAAATATCCATTTGCCTGATTGGATTTTTAAATTAAATTTATTTCAATAACAATAGGTTTAACAAGGACCTAGGTTTGCTGGTACAGGGAGGGCAATGAAGTGTGTTTCTAGTCAAATATTAATAGCCAAGTATAAAATAAATAAATTTGCCAAATCCAAAGAGAAGCACACAAAGTGCAAGTGTGACTGTATAGTCAAGGAGAAGGTTGGTATTGTCTATCACGTTAATACTTCAGTATTATGACAATTATTTAAAATCTAAGATATTGTACATTTAACAATGGTAAGGTTTAACTTTCTTATTCCTGCTTGGAACTCAAGGTTCTTGTAGACCCCATCTCCTCTTCAGCACTGGATTTAGAAAATACATGCCCTTATTCTCCTGTGATGAAGGTACAGGCTAGTTGTTTGGGGAAGTATCGAATACACCCCCATTGAAAGAAGGCACTGAAGGCTCGGTCCTAGTAAAGTTATTTTTAGGTAAAAATATATAAAAGTTAACCGCCGAAGTAAACATAACGTAACACTATTGGATGGTTTTGTACAAGGTGTATTTGTACATTTGTTGTATTTGGGTATTGCGTTCCCACTCTGCCCTTTCCAAGAATACCATATATTAATATGCGGCACGATGTTTTTCTGAGTGCTATCTCAACAATGCCTTCCTAGGTTTCACAATGTCCTTTTAGCGAAAATCCCTATAGGGAAGTAGCTATTTTCCTACGCCAGCGGTATTTTACAAGATGTCAACTTAATAATAAAGTTTTGTGGATGTGCTGGGAATTGATCCCGTCCCTCCTGCACCGAGTCGAGCACAATGTTGATTAGTGCCTGTTTACTTTTATTAGTTTTACCTTTCATTGTTAAAACTACTAGACGTTCCATCCTAATGATAAAGTTGTCGAAAGTTTTATAATTACTGTACTTTAACATTTTTCTATGTATTTCTTCTCTTCTTCCGTGTATTTCTTCCTGTACATATCTCCTCCGCAGCCAACGGTTATTGGCAGTAATCTACAGAAAACTACTCATTCATTCCACACTCATTGTTTATTCATATTTTGGTAAAAATATGGCCATTTGTGTCCCCATTAACCCTCAAGGGGAGTTAAGACCTGTTGACAATGAATTGTTGTATGCATTTTTTTTTTCATTTATTGCTATTCCCTATCAACATCACTTTAGGTTGTGTAATATAATCTGTACTGCCAATTTGAATCCACAAGCTTTGTTAATCCTCCTCCCTTCCTGTGTATTTCATTTTTTTAAATTATAAATATAAACATAGATGCTATTAAGTATGTCCATCACAATTAGGCTGATAAAACTTTATGTCCTTGTTCTAGTAATTTTGAATTTTCTCAGGATTGCAATGAACTTCAGGAGTATCGTAAAAGTGAATGTCGCTGCTTTTGTACCAACAAAGATGCTGAAGCAAAATGCAACGATGACCCCAAGAAACACTGGAATCCGGATAGTTGCTCCTGTGAGTGCCTCAGTGTGGTTGAGTGTTCGTCTGGAACATATTACGACCCCTCGAGTTGCAGGTAAGTTTATATTTTAATTAACGAGTTCATTTAAAATGTATAACAATTACAATTGGTGAGTTAGTGGCTCAGTCTTGACTTTCGGCCATGGGCAGACTAGGCCTGTGCATGATAATGTCAGCACCCTCGGCACAACTAATAATAGCGCCCCTTCCAACAGCTGGGAGGCGTTCGTAAAGGTAGTTTGCAGGACCACCATCACGAAGGCCTCCCCACCCCCCTACCATACCACACACCCCCTTATTTAAGTATTTACCATTGAAATGCAAGCCACACACACTTACGCACGACCGATGAGCCAAACACAACGAGTATCACAAATACATGGTGAGATATAAGCTTGTCCTAAGCAGGCGACATGCGTGTTGGCGGCAACGGTTTAATGCAGGAAAATGTGAGAAAACACCTAACGCAGTAATCACGGCCTGAATTCATTGTACACTTAAGGAAAGATGTTTTCATCGCTTGAGTAACTTGGCATAGCATTGATCTAAAATGCCAGTTTTGGTTCGGAAGGGAATTGTCCCTTAACTCTCATACGGTACTCAATTTTTATCCTTCATCTTTGTATACATTTTATTTTATTATCAATTTTATCCTTAGTTTCTTTCAGAGCCTTTCCATTATACCTTTAGACCCCACGTGTCTTGTACTGGCAACTGATAGCCGTGGGGTACCTAGCTGGTCTCTATCTGTCGGGAAAATGCAGAGCACGTACCTCAAGGACCATGCCCACCCTCCCTTCTTGTAATTTAAATTATTTGCAGTATTTACACGATTTGTCCAATCTCTTATTTGTTGGTTTATTTTTGGTTTGCTAGACATTTTTTTTCCACTAGACTAGAAACTCATACTATAGGAATTTTTCTGGTTTTTCGTGTTGCAAAGTTGTCAATAATGTTTTTGTAATCTGGTTTTAAAGTAATGTACAACAACAATAAACAATAACAACAATAAAGTAGGTCGTGCTTAACAACAATAAACCACTACGCTTTTCATCAAGCATTGACAATCTTATTTCTGCTTTTACTCTTTCAATGCTGAAAAGCTTTGTTCTACTGAGCAGTTTTTAACAGGTAAGGTTAAATATATCCTGGCACTTGGAAATTGAAGAAAGTGCTCTCTAATTGGTTTGATTTTATATAGGTATACATTTCTTTGACTTTTGTTATGTTGTCCAAAATCATGTACTGTTTGAAATGGTTGCATTTCTGCAAAAAGTCTTGTCCATCAATAACTTTCTGGTATTTCTCGCCTAATAGTTTAACCTCACAAGCCACCTCTTGGGAATTTTTGATTTGCAAATCCTGGAATATCTTGAATCTTGAGTCAAGATCTTTACAGTCCTCTCTTCTTTTGTCTAGCTGTACTAGGTTGTCAATTATTGCAACAAATACTTCAGTACGGAATCTCGCTCTAGGAGACATTTTTTCCATTCTAGTATCTGGGCTTTCATCAGGAAAAAAATAATTTTCCTATCCTCTACTTGCCACATACAGGTTCTTTTTTGCCAGCAAGTCTTAATGCTCTTGACTCGTAGTTATCAAACGAGTCTCTTTTTTCATAAAAAACGAAGATAGTGTTTCAAGTTCCTTTGTAGCACCAGGTCTTGATTTTGAAGAGTCTTGCTTGTCTTGTCCACTCTTTCAAGAAGCTCATCCCAGATGACAGTTAGTATCGTGGTTTGGTAATTACCAAGAATTTTCAAATACCCGGCGTTTGAGACTCTTGTCGCTGGTGTCTTAGTATTGTCTGCATACTGTTCAAGAGCGTCTTTCAATACATGCTGACTTATGATCAGAGCTTGAAGTGTGTCTGCTCTGGCAGACCATCTTGTGTCACTCAATCGTTTAGTCAAACGCTTTCTCTGATCTGTTTTTTATTTTCCTTCATTACTCTTTTCAGCGTGATTTTTTAAAACGTTCCATCTGTGGGTGGATGTTGAGAAAAACCATACAGTCCTGGTGGTAAGGGGAAAAATATGGTTGCTTCTGGACATGCCTTCTCAGCAACAAAACACCCAGCTAGGTTGAGTGAGTGAGCTGCACATGGTAAATAAATAGCAAGATAATTTTTACTTTTAATCTTCGCCTCGAGACCTGAGACATACTCGACACGTTGGACGCAATATCGTAGCTTTTCCCACGATAACATTCAACATACGTTTCTCTAGTAAATTTAGTGTAGCTTCCTCTAAACTTCAGAGGATTTGTGTCATACTCTGGGTAAGAGTTGTATCAGACGTTCCTTGGCAAAAGCTAGCATTAGTCGGTATGCGGTGTGTGTGACACATCTGGAAATGAGTCTAGAGAGAAAAACGAGCTAGTTTGATTTCATCTAAGATTTCCCTCGGTACTTCTTTACTCATAATCTCAATAAATTCACTGCAAATGTCGGATGGAAGGTACCTTTGCCTTTATTACCATATTTTGCTATAGTTGACCATGAAATTGATCGAATTCACTTATCATCTCAAGATATTCTGGAAAAAGTCTGTTTGATGTAGAACCAAGTCTTTGATTAACGCCTCTAAAAAGAAGACCGAGACTCGTTAAAAACTTTACAACAGACACAACTCGAGTCAATAAATCTCGCCAGTACACAGTGGGACTGGCACTGGGTATTTCTTTGGTGGGAATTGTCGCCGGCAACCCTGCCACACTCGGCTGTTGTTCACGTCAGTCGCGCAGCAGCCACGCTTCATTGTTTTTATAATTAAAAACCTACCACAAGGTTACTGCTAGTTTTTCTTCTGCACCAACACAATCACGTAACTGAGTATCTGTCTTTTGTAAATTGTTTCTAATGTTTGACAACAGTAAATCAAAAGATGCTATGGACATACGGTAATAATCAAGGAATTTATCCGGATAATCCTTGAGTTTTCGGTAACAAAACAAATTTCCTTCACATGGACGACTCATAATAATTGGAAGAACCCACCATTTTCGTTTCCAGTTAAGCCCTCTGTGGCGACGAACAACATACTATTGCTGCTAAAAATTGAAATTTTGAGTGACAAAACTCATCTTGCATGGTACGTCTCGTATGGTTGTTGCAAGACAACTAACTGCCAAAGCCGATGATTTTTACTGCCAGATTGGCACCTCTGGTCAATTTTTGCGCTACAGAAACTGGAATAAATAATAATAACCATCATATAAATTATAAGTTTATAACAGGGAGCTGCTGATAAATAAGTTTGAAAGAAGTAAGAATAATATTAGCACCATAAGATCTACGTAAGCAGATAGCACTTAATAATGCATTTCAAAGCGTCAAGGCTACTTAAAATATCAAAGCTAAATGTTGTAAATGTTATGTTCTGGAAAACGCATATTGTAACAAAAATGTTTTTCTTGCAGTTGTGAGCCCCTTCCAACCGAAGTCTCCACCAACAACTCAAAAATTACACAGCCTCCTACCCGTCGAAGATGGCAACCTAACTACTCTTTCTTTGGATGAAAGTAAACTCTACCTGATAACGAAAATCATCAGTCATTTTATACCAAAACATCTACATCATTTGAGCTTTCCATGTATATATTGTATTTATTTAGTTATAGTTGTTTATAGACCTAGTTAAGATTATACATTTTTGGCCAATGACGTTGCGTCTGGAAGGTGTATTTACTTATCTTAATTTTTCTGTTCATTTATGTTTTCATAAAATGAACATGAGTTTGTTGGCCAATGAGTTGTTCCGTCCTGTAATCAGTGAAATTTTGTTTGTAAGTGAATTGTTGTGTATCTATGAACAAATAAATTTATTAAACGTTAACAATACTGTACTGTCCTGTTTTTTTTTGTTCTTCAATAATACTGATTGTTCTTATTTTAGTTTTTCAATATCGAGCCTCTGGATTACCAAGACGACATAAGAGATAAGTGGATTAAAATGCCTGTATTGTTCGTAATTGAATTAGTTGCTGTGGCAACTAATTTTAGCTCACAATGGAGCCATAATCAGGCTTTACAAGGTAATTGTCCCTTCTTCTGAAATAGTTCACACATATTTACAAACATCGAAACATCAATAAAACAACACGCATGACTAGTTTTTACGAAGCAACCGGCGGCAGTTTATGTCTAAACTGTTTTGATTACCAAAAATAAATGTATTTAAAACAACTTCTAGTGATCGTATTTGTAATTGATTCTAGTGATCGTATTTGTAATTGACTGACATAAATTGTCTTTTGACTACACCATTTGTTTATACCAAGGCAATAGAAAGAGAAATATGCAGTGAAAAGAACTATAAAAAGCACTGGTAACAGAGAATAAAAAAAATTTAACTACCCCTAAAATTGTAGTAAAAGAAATTACCACCAATATTTATTATATACAGTAGTTATAGTTTTTAATCAAACTTAACAAAAAAGCATTATACACCTTTACATCCAAGTGGCAAAACCACTGGATAGGGGTGTGGTTACTGAAGTTGAAAGAATAAACGTAAAACTAAAAAGGGAAAGAGACAATAAAATGGAAGAAAGAGAAGGAAATTTTGTTTGTACAGTAGACTCCCTCTTATCCGGACTCCTCGGGACCAAGGCCAGTCCGAATAACTGTTTTTCCGGTTAAGCCGACGTCCCCAAAAACTCGTTAAAACGGACCGTTTACGGTGATATTCGACTTAAATTTAGAAGAGCATTGTATTTAGACATGTGATCACTGGTCTCAAATCTTTTCCACAAGAACAGTTGTTTCAGTACTGCCTACTTCCTGTCGATCTAGTCCGGTTAAACTAATGTACTGATAAAAATTGTCCGGTTAAAGAGATGTCATTTCCGTCGAGTGTAGTCCGGATTAACCGATGATAGTCCGATGATGTCCGGTTAAAAGGTTTCCGGATAAAAGGGAGTCTACTGTAGGTGCATTCATTGCGTCAATGACACTATACCCAGATGGATTGGACACTACCCAGTGGCAGATTATTTTTGTCAAGAGACAATATTCAGATTTTAAGTGGGAAGAAGCTGATGGATAAACCTCTAAAACTAATTTAGTAGACTTAGTGAACTGAATTGAATTAAATTGAAGAAAATATTATCCTGGCTGGTAGTAGGTACCGCCTTTCCAATAGGCAATGGTACCGCATAAAAAGTCAGCTGGAGATGAATAAAAAGTGGGTTGTGACACTAGCAGCATAGCAGAAATTGGAGCTTTCCTCAAAATTTAAGATGAAATCATTGAAAACACTTCTTGTCTTAGAAAGCATTATTACTAAGCCCATATTAACGTCGCTGACCTGGAGACTTTACTGCAGAGGCTGAATCCAGCTTTGATTTAGGCTTGTAAAGACTTCAAATTGTAAAGTATTCAGCAACAGTTTATGCTTGGGTTTCATCACTATTGATTGGTGACCAAAGCATCAAGTGCAGAAGTAGAATTAGTGAAGTCTCAAGCAAAGTGGGCCTATAAACTCAATGCTTAGCGAATAAGGAGTTTCTATAATAGTCTATGTGAAAGTGGGTTGGACAGAAAATCTGTAATCAGACAATTTCACAGCATGCATCATTTTAGTGTTATCGAAATATTTCCACACTACAGAGAAGCAAACCTGATTTTTGATTCAGCAAGGTTAGGTGAAAAAGGCGTAGAAAAATTGCAGAGTAAGATGCATCTGGATAAGGTCTACTATCCACTACTGGATAAGGTATGCTATCTGCCAGCGCAATGGAAGTCAGGGAATTAAATTGTAACATAACTTGGCAAACACTTTCAATTGATATAACACATGGGACAGATAAATGTGTGACGATTGTGGAGTGTGAGCTTTACATTATTAGGTGTTGTACGCCTTGTGAAACTTAAGATTGGGTAGGTATGATACTGTTGGAAATCTACACTGAGCTACGAGCCACTCAAAGAGTTGGTAGTGGTTAACAGTGCAACATTCTCATGTGAACAGAAGGGTGTGTACTTTTATACTACTATAAATTCTATGTGCTCAGTATTCTTATGAATGGGTATTTCAAAAACTTTAGATTATGATAAAAGTTAAAAGGAATTCCCTTGAGGAAGACATTTTGAATGATTTAATCTCCACCACTTGAGACTTATTACAAAATAAGAGTTGGAATTAGATGATGGAGGAAACTGTTTCTAGTGAGCTTAACAGATTATATCGATGGTTTAATCTCTCGTGTTTTGTTTGTTCTCTAAAAAAAAACAATTTTGGAGGTACATTTGAAGGATCGTGATAATTGTTATTAAGGTGGGTTTAAGTTTTTGAGGTCATATCGTATAACATACAGTAAACAACTGATTAAATCAGATAAACTGAATGAAGGAAGGCAATTACAGGATAATTCATGTCAACTTAATGTTACTCAAATTAAATTTAATTGAAAACAAAAATAATAATAGAAAAAAAACCAATTTATTGTTGCCAACGGTTAAAAGCTCAAGTATTTACAATTTTGCGTTATTTTTATTTGAACCCTAGAACACCAGCAATAGGATCATACAATTTAGGAAATCAGAAAGTAGGAAAATCATTGCCTGACTAAAGTAATCTCAAAATCTAAATCATGCTGATCACAAAATGTATGTTCTAAAAAGTTGCAATGTTATTTTGTTCTGTCAAGGATGAGCATATGGATGAACTCACATAATTTTATGCCTTCTTAGTAAAAAAAATAATAAAATAACACCCTAACGGATTTGATACTACACTATTGGTGTGTTGCTCCCAAGTACGTCATAAATAAATCTAAATTTACACCAGAAAAAACAACATATTTCCTCATATCACGATTGATTTGCCTTGTGGTACAATTCCTATAACCGCGCGGCTATAAAAAGTGATTGCTTATATGCAAAGTAAATGCAACCCATTCCTATTGAGCGTCCATAGCCGCGTGACTGGAGCAAATATAGCCGGGCGGCTAGAGTCGATGCGGCTCGACTACTCCGTGAGACGTCTAGTTGCTGCAATCGTGCGACTGTAACAAATTTATAATAATACATACGGAGTTTATAAAGTTAAGTTTATTGAATTGGTTTGTCACCACCCACCCGATTTCAACCCCAAGCATCCCCGATACTTGAAGAAGATGTCTCTGGAGAATATTCTAAAACCCCTCTTTTTGCCATACCATGAACAACGTATTATGTTGTTCAATGTTTTTCACTATACACATTAATATTTCTTCTTCCTCCTCTTCTTCCTGAATATATACGCTGCCAACTGTGCTTATTCCATGTCAGAGCGCAACTGCACTAGTTGCAGCCGCAGCATAGGAATTAAGACGATTGTCTCAGGCTATACGGCTCTGATCGCACGGCTACAGTCGCATGACTACAAGTCATATCAGTTGCCCCATAGGAATTGAACATTTTAGGAAAACAAACCATCTATGTGTAATTTATCTTTTTCAACTGCAAACAATTTACGTCCAATCCTCGATTTTTTTTTAGTATTGTGTCAATAAAATGTATAACTATTTATCTTCCCCCCTTCCTTTAATTCCCCCTATTTATTGCCCCTTCAAGTTTTTTTTTTCATTCTCAACAAAATGACTTACAGTAATGTTTCTGGATAGAATATTTTATAGCACCAAAATAAAATGTTGCAATAAAGTTGAGTCAGGTGTGAAAGATTAGTTACACTTGTAACCCTATCATAAACAAGTTGCAAGTCGATTCACATCCAGATGAGATAAGTTCCGTTATCTGTGCGGGCTGATACCTTTAATCTCCATTGTCAGTATGAAGAGGACGGTTTGTAGAGGGAATTCTTGACAAATCACTGCCATGCTTATGTTACATCTCCTCAGTGGTAAGTAAAACTGTTAACAGTTAGATTATTGTAGTATCAAACTTACAACGTTGAAGGTGTAACTATTTTAAGGTAAAATTTGTTTTTACAAAACGTATCGTAGGGACATAGGAGGCATTCAGGGGTTTACCGTTTCCATGAGGAAATAAACTGTTCTTTCTTACCATGTGTTAAGCGCCGGTCACACGGAGCTTGTTTTTTCACCGCTAGTAACTAGCAGCAGAAGACCAGCATCATGTGATCCTCCAGTGGCTAGAAACACTCGCATGAGCAGGTACCTAGCCGCTGGAGGGTTTAAACAGTTATATTCCAAGCGCTTGAAGTGTCACTTGCAGGTCACGTGACCGCCCAGCTGTGGTCTCTAGTGCCATTCCAGCTCCGTCCGACTGGAGCCAACAGTATCGAGCTAGTTCTCCAAATAAGAATAAATTTAAATTAATTTAATAATGTAAATTCAAGAACAAATTTTAAACTTCATGTTTTGAATATTTATTTTAATCTATTGTCAAAATCTTATTGCTGTAACGATTGCTACATCTCACCTATAAGCTAAGGTGATCTATAGCTAACCTATAAGCTATAGATCACTGAGCTATAACTAAGACTTAAGCTCACTGTGGCTGATCATAGATAAAACATCACGTTTATTGCCAACAGACGATATTATTTTTGTTTTATTAATACTCAAAGTCACAGTGCCAATCACAACACCAGACTTTGTAGCGCTAGTTTCCCAGCTTCGTCTGACGCTTCTAGCACGCTGTAGAACCAGGAACTAGAGCTGCTGGATCTTGCAGCCAGAACTAGCTGCTGAAACAAGCCCTGTGTGACAGATGCTTAAAACACACAATGGAAACGAAATAGTATATTTCGTACCTAGGGCCGAAAATGAGGTTTTGCTGGCTCAAGACAGTTTTTAAGTTCGAGACAAAGTTGAGAATTTAAAACGGTCAAGAGTTGCAAAACCATTTTGGTCCGTTGTACGAACGCTATTTTTCACCACACTATACCCTATTACCACTTTTCACCACAATAATGCCGCACACTAACAGTCAACACTTTTAAGGTTATGTAAAAACACAACTTGAGGAATCAGCAAAAATAATAATAAATAGTTGCTAGCAGCGATGACAATATAACAAGTCTATTGCAATGCTGTGGATACTGATTGAGTATTTATGCATTAATGTTTAAGGTAAGTAAGCGAACAGCTGGTTTTGCGGCCCAAGGGATGTAAAAACCCGCTCGGTCCCCAAATAACGATGACACTGGCATGGCCAGCAAAACGTAACTTTCAGCCACCAGTATGTAAAACAGCTAAAAACATCATAGTGTGGTGAACAAATTATTTTACTTCACATTTTCAAGACTTGAATTGTATTTGATTAACCTGTTCCTTAAGTAGGTATTTTTGTGTCACCCTTCTTATTTACCTACTCAAGAACTAAAGGTTACAACAACAAAGGTAGGCCTAATTTAAAAAGAAAAGTATTGTAATAGAAATTCACAAACAAGCTATAAATACTTTTAATTGAGCCCTGATTAGAAAATTGAATTATATAGTGTTCAGCAATTAAAATTTTTGTGTCTATAGAACTTATTATTTAGGATGTCAAAAACCAAATTTACAAACAAAATAGTTGGTTTTGTTTTGGTTCATTTTTTGGATGCCAAAATTATCCATGGGGAGTTCAGTTCACAGTTTATTGATTGATGCCATTATTAAATTTGTAAATATTGTGATGACCACGGGTAAAAGAGGAAACTTTAATGAAGGAGGGCAGAGTCAAGATATTACAGTAATACTTAATTTATTAATTGACAAATTTTGATTCAAAATAATACGATTTAAAAAGACATCTATACCCTGAAGACAACTGCAGGGAGGGTCGAGATATTGGACTGTGATCTCACACTCTTCCTGATCTTCTAACCCGACTGACTGTCCCACGCTTCTCGGTTCAGAGGAAGTTATAGAGAATAATAATTGGTAGTTATTTAGTATGAAAATTAAACTTAATTCTTGTCTATATCAAATACTATATAAATCATGAGTAATTGAAAGGTTTCAAATAATAAACATATATTCATTCTTCCCTTTTATTTTGAAATGCCCTGAATATATTTTACGAAGAAAATATTTAAATAATTTTGAGTAAGAGTACACTGGCCCATTTTGCACATTTGGCTCTTACACTTTATTTAGAGCCACTAGAAAAGTTGGTTGTCAAAATATCTGACCATAACTTAAACGTTTGATTACTCTATGTAACTTTGTTTTTTTTCCAAATGTTTCAGTTATTGCTCTTATCACTGTGCCATTGAAGCGCCATCATTGCGCTAATGCGTTATCAAATGGGACAGTTACAACCAACTCCTCCCAGTTCCCATATCAGGTACCAGTTAATACCTCAATGTTGATACAGTTACTTCTATCTTATCAGTAATTACCAAATGATGTTAAACACAACCATAGGCTATTTTATCACGAATTAGTTCTAGAGGTATTGGAAATATTAATGGGAAATATATTTGACTATATCGATCAGTGCAAGATTTCTCATCCTATTGCCATTAGCTGTATGGGCTATTAATTAACAGCTGTTTCTAAGGAATATGTTGGCCTTAGTCACTAACAAGACTACAAGATTCCACCACTCATCCTACACTCATCTCCTTTCATACTTGGCTTAAAATACCTACATTGTATAATCGCCATTTCAATGAAAAGTATTATTAAAGTATTAAAGTATTAGAAAATCTTAATGTTTTGATCTGCTTCATGTTGATATTTTTTTAGAGAGTTTTTGTTTAAGTTCTTGAACTAAAATAAGAGATATGTACCTACGATGTTAAAATATGTTATAGTAGGTAACAAAAGTAAAAATACTTTACTTTACTTTTATACTTTCAATTGAAATCGCAACCATACGAAGGTAGGTATTTTAAGCCAAGTATGGATGAAGATGAGTGTGGGATTAGTGGCGTGATCTTGTAGTCTTGTTACTGACTAAGGCCGACAAGTTCCTTAGACAGGACTTTCTAGTAATTAATTACTTTAATTATTCATACACTCATCAAAGCTGATGGCTCTTTGGGCCTGCGAATTGTGGTAAATTGTCTCCTCTTCGGAAATAATGTGTGTCTAGTTGTCGTTTCCAACATGAACGGTTCGGTTTATGATCTTAAATCATATGACCAAATCACCAAATGTGGGCCAAATACGCCACATCTCCCCCTATACATAGTATAATGAGAAAGTATTGTTTTTGTCAAAATTTTCATCCCATGAAACCCCCCATAAACCCCCAATCTCGTAGTCTAATCATGCTGATTAGCGAACTTGTATGAATAAACGTAGGTAACAAATTTAATCTAAATTAGTTAATGAGTGTGCTTGATCTAAATTTTTGCTTGAGTTGTCTCACTAACAGACATATATAATATACATATATGAATTTGAACGAATCGTGTTTTTGGCCTCTGGAGACATCAAAATTAAAAAGTAAATTTGTCCCTGGCCCAGGTCTTACTATGAGACCTACGTTAATAGCTAGCTTATATAGATATGTAGATATGGGAAATTCGCTAAAACCATAACAAGTTTTTGTATAGTGAAATAGATTCTATAATATAAAACAAAACTTATATTATAGTGTGACTTATTAAACTGATATTATACCGTGCAACTGTGGGATTAATTCATCTGACAGTTTGTTATATATATTGTTTATTATTGTTTACAGGGCTTCATATTTTATAATGCCGATATTGGACAAATACCAGTCTGTAATGCAGTGATTATTAATAATCATCAGGTTCTTACTACAGCCAGCTGTATCTCATCTGCGTAAGTATTTTATATAATTTTATAATAACACTAGCAGAGTACCCTAGCTTCATTCGCGGTTAGCGTATTTAAGTATGAAATGCTATACTCGTAATCTGCGTTTGCAATGGGGGAGGACAGGGCTTGAGAAAATTTTGTTCTTTAAATTTACGGTATGCTAAAGTATAACGTATCTGCTATAGCCATAATTTTCTACCACTGCACCTAAACAAAAGAAAAAAGTAAATAATCAAACATTCGCGCAGTATCACAAATTATTTATTAAATTAAAAACAAAAACATAACTGAAAACAATTCTAATCTGTCAGTTCTCATTGTGTATCACAGCTTCTTTGTTGCTGCTTAGTTTAAATTAGCTCTTGTCATAAATGGAAAAAAATAATGGTGCTGCAACCTGTTGGCAACTGGCAAAATTATTTAATTCCTTTTAAATATGAATACTCATAAGAATAACATCAAAACTTTGAACTCCCGTTGGGCATAGCCCTATAGGATTTTCACAACTTTAATATGCCTATGTGTTTCTCAAGTTTATCAAGTACATCTCTGCAAAATGTCAGCTTAATCGGTCCTGTAGCTTTCACGTGATAGAACTTAGAGTTATACCATTGACTTTTGGATACTGAAGTTTTCTATTAATACTCAAAGGTTATACACAAACATCCATACTTTCACAATTATAATATTAGTAGGATTAGTAGGATAGGATAATTTTGGTTTGGCTAAAGATAGATGACTAAAGACTAGGGAACATTACATATAAAGGGTGTCCCAGTAAGAACGCCGGATTTCAGGAGCGTTTTATGCTTATCTGTATTTCAATAGGAATTCCCAAATTATCAGCGATGTTACAGTATTAGGTCCCATTTGTAGCCATGAATCGCTACACGACGGATCAACGCGTGGTCATAGTTAAAGTGCACTACAAGTACGGAAAATGTTTCTCTGAAACGGTGCGGAAGCTGCGCGCTATTTTCGGCCAGGACAATGCACCAAATGAGTCATCTGTCCGAAGATTGATTTCTAAGTTCAAAGAAATTGGCTCAGTTTTGGACATTAAAAGACCAGTGTGCAGTCGGGCAGGTCGCTCCCTTGAAAATATTGAGGCTGTACATGATAGTGTAGAGGACAACGCAAGAACATTGATTCGTCGGCGTAGTAAGCAGTTATAGCTCGGAGCACAGTACAAAGAGTTTTGTTAAAGACCTACACAGGTTCCCTTACAACGTTTAACTCACACAAGAGATCAAGCCAAGAGATCCTGTAATAATAATAAAGTAGTATAATTAATTTTCTTAAAAAGAAACAATGATGAATAAGTTGTTATTTACCTTATTTTAGGAACTCCTACTCTTTATCAGACCTCATCCTGATGGCAGGCACAGCAGATTTAGATACTGCTGACTTCTACAACTTCACTTCATCGCAAGAACATCCTGATTACAACAGTACTACTTACTACCATGACCTCATCATACTGCAGGTGACACGTAGCTTTGAAATAAGATGTGGAGTTGATAGAAATTTACTATGAATTACCAAGAGTTTCCAATTACAGTTTAGACTAACGCTCATTCAACATTAAATCACAAAATAAACAGACGGTTTAAAACTATAGATATACTAGCGGAATACCCGTGCTTCACTAAGGAATTAATATTAATTCCTTAGTGTAACTAACATTAATTTTAAATTTCAACCAATTTGAAAGTTTAACTTTCAAATTGGTTGAAATTTAAAATTAGTATTTGTGCCAAAAACTGTTAGTCAACAATTCAGCTACAACCTGAGCTGCCCCAAACGATGTTGGTGTTATTTTAAAGCAGCTATTATAATGTCTCAGCCGGTCCATAAAGTGTATATGCTCAGGGTGGTTGCCCATGACCAGACTGCATAAAGGTTCAGGTAGGTACTGCAAAGGTATAAGCTGCACATTACCACCATTGCAGCACATACCCAGTGTGTTTCTTCTTTCCATTTTAAGGCCTTGTACATCTCAACGTCATGGTATCGCCACCCAGCTATCTCCTTCATTGTCTATTTTCGATCATATGTTATTGCTGATAGATTTTTCACCATTCATCGAATCCTTGGCGAATGTCTTTCAGGATGAGTTTCTTCATACTTTTTGCTTGCATTTTTCGCCTGCTTTTTCCTTTGTTTGTCTGTGCACCTGCTATGCCGTTTACGCCTTGATGTATTTTGTTGAGATTCCGGGATTGGCTGACATTCGGGAGAAACGGGCTCTTTTTGTAGCTCTAAAACGTTAAAGTGTGGAACAAACTCATCATTACCATTTAAAACCTCAGTGTCCATACTATGAAACGGGTTAAACAACTACAAAAATATTAACAGAACTAAGTTCTTACAAATTAAAATGCAATAAAAACTAAGTTTAATTCTACTTTCTTCAACACTGATACATGGGTCAATATTTTAATTCGGGACAAATTGACTTCAAATATCTTCCCAAAAAAAAATAGTGAAATTTTTTTTTTTTTAATACATTCTACTGACATGTCAAATCAAGATACAATATGTGTCCACGCTGTAGACCCCTTTTTTTGGCGGGAAAAAATTTTTGATTTTGACTAGGGGACACACCGTTACAAAACTATGGGACCGATGTTACGCATGCGGGGACCGACGTTACATCAAGACTCAAGACCATGAAATCGTCATTAAAATAAAGATAAAAACTTATTTAAACCTATATTTGTTCCTTTTAGGCTATGGTGTTACCTTTATATATACTGTCAATGCATTTTATCATCATAAAATAATCACTAATACAAATGCAGAGAAAATCAACAAAGTTAATTAACCTTTCTTATGAGAACAGAGTGTTTTGAGGTTTGAAAATAAATACAACTACTTTCAAAAAACAATTTTAGTAATTGCACTTACAAATTATAATAGGCAGATCATAAGTCATTTAAACAAGTTACTGTTAACAAGATAGTATTAAATAAGTCGAGTCATCATCAACTATTTAATTTGTACTTAAAAAACCTTCTATAGTCTTATTTCATCAGTCTCAAAGTTACTTTTTCAGACTTTTATTCAACAATATAAAAATGTTTCAAGTGAACTATATTAATAAATTTAACTTTTAATAGTCGTACATAAAAATAGAATATATCTGTATAGTAAAAACGACAAACGAATGAAGAAACAATAGACAAATATTGGCTGACAACATTATGAATAAAAAATAAGTGACGCAGTTATATTGAAAAACTATTAAAGTAACTGCGATTGTAGGATAAAATAAAAACAATGTTCTGTTATCCTATACTCTAATACGAGCAATGTTTGCTTGTATGTATGTATGTATGCTTGCTTGCTTGCTTGCAAACAAGATCTCGAAAACGGCTCCGACGATTTTCTTCAAATGTTGTAAATAGTTTATTTCTGGCCTAAAAACGAGTTTACTGCAGTTAGAACTGCCAACAAAAATCTAATTACGTAGAAAAATGAAACTGAAAATCACATTTTTTAACATTAGTCTTATGGGTTGCTAGGTAACCATGTTGGCTGAATTAAATAACAAGGAAAAAGTAAACAAAAGACTTAAAGTTGTAGCATGTGTTCATAATAAGCCAACTACCCACAGTATACTAGCAAACTACAAATACAGTACAAAAGGAAAAACATCATTTGTAATATTTAGCAAAGATTATACTGAAGATTACTCGATACATTGTAGTCAAGGGTAGCAGTGCGAAGTCTGGAATCTGTTTATGACGAATAGATTAAGGTATCTGCAATCTTAAAATGCTATGGGAAGGGAAGGAAACAGGTCCGCGTCGTAGGAAGTGGTGAAGGAAGTAGTAAAGGCAATCATAAAATAATATCGGAATGGAGGGAAACAGGTCCGTGACGTAGGAAGTGATGAAGGAAGTAGTAAAGGCAAGTAGTCCGGAGTGTGGGGACTGTTTATGACGATAAGATTAGGGTATCTGCAATCCTAAAATGCTATGGGAAGGGAGGGAAACAGGTCCGCGACGTAGGAAGTGGTGAAGGAAGTAGTCAAGGCGAGCTGTCCGGAGTGTGCTAACTGTTTATGTTGATTAGATTAAGGTATCTGCAATACTAAAATGCTATGGGAAGGAAGGAAAACAGGTCCGCGACGTAAGAAAGTGGTGAAGGAAGTAGTCAAAGCGAGCTGTCCGGAGTGTGGGAACTGTTTATGACGATTAGATAAGGGTATGGGCAATCCTAAAATGCTATGGGAAGGGAGGGAAACAGGTCCGTGACGTAGGAAGTGGTGAAGGTAGTAGTCAAGGCGAGCTGTCCGGAGTGTGGGAACTGTTTATGACGATTAGATAAGGGTATGGGCAATCCTAAAATGCTATGGGAAGGGAGGGAAACAGGTCCGTGACGTAGGAAGTGGTGAAGGAAGTAGTTAAGGCGAGCTGTCTGGAGCGTGAGAACTGTTTATGATAATTAGATTAAGGTTATTGCAATCCTTAAATGCTATGGGAAGGGAGGAAAACAGGTCCACGACGTAAGAAAGTGGTAAAGGAAGTAGTCAAAGCGAGCTGTACGGAGTGTGGGAACTGTTTATGACGATTAGATAAGGCTATGGGCAATCCTAAAATGCTATGGGAAGGGAGGGAAACAGGTCCGTGACGTAGGAAGTGGTGAAGGAAGTAGTCAAGGCGAGCTGTCCGGAGTGTGGGAACTGTTTATGACGATTAGATAAGGGTATGGGCAATCCTAAAATGCTATGGGAAGGGAGGGAAACAGGTCCGTGACGTAGGAAGTGGTGAAGGAAGTAGTTAAGGCGAGCTGTCTGGAGCGTGGGAACTGTTTATGATGATTAGATTAAGGTATTTGCAATCCTTAAATGCTATGGGAAGGGAGGAAAACAGGTCCGCGACGTAAGAAAGTGGTGAAGGAAGTAGTCAAAGCGAGCTGTCCGGAGTGTGGGAACTGTTTATGACGATTAGATAAGGGTATGGGCAATCCTAAAATGCTATGGGAAGGGAGGGAAACAGGTCCGTGACGTAGGAAGTGGTGAAGGAAGTAGTCAAGGCGAGCTGTCCGGAGTGTGGGAACTGTTTATGACGATTAGATAAGGGTATGGGCAATCCTAAAATGCTATGGGAAGGGAGGGAAACAGGTCCGTGACGTAGGAAGTGGTGAAGGAAGTAGTTAAGGCGAGCTGTCTGGAGCGTGGGAACTGTTTATGATGATTAGATTAAGGTATTTGCAATCCTTAAATGCTATGGGAAGGGAGGAAAACAGGTCCACGACGTAAGAAAGTGGTGAAGGAAGTAGTCAAAGCGAGCTGTCCGGAGTGTGGGAACTGTTTATGACGATTAGATAAGGGTATGGGCAATCCTAAAATGCTATGGGAAGGGAGGGAAACAGGTCCGTGACGTAGGAAGTGGTGAAGGAAGTAGTCAAGGCGAGCTGTCCGGAGTGTGGGAACTGTTTATGACGATTAGATTAAGGTATATCCAATCTTTAAATGTAATGGGAAGGTAGGGAAACAGGTTTGCGACGGAGGAAGTGGTGAAGGAAGTAGTAAATGCAAGTAGTATGGAGCGTGGGAACTGTTTATGACGATTAGATTAAGGTATATCCAATCTTTAAATGTAATGGGAAGGTAGGGAAACAGGTTTGCGACGGAGGAAGTGGTGAAGGAAGTAGTAAATGCAAGTAGTATGGAGCGTGGGAACTGTTTATGACGATTAGATTAAGGTGTCTGCAATTCTGAAATGCTATGGGAAGGGAGGAAACTGGTCCACTACGTTGGAAGTGGTGAAGGAAGTAGTCAAGGTGAGCTGTCCGGAGTGTGGGATCTGTTAATAACGATTAGATTAAGGTATCTACAATCCTAAAGTGCTATGGGAATGCAGGGAAACAGGTCCATGACGTAGGAAATGGTGTAGGACATAGTAAAGGCGAACCGTGTGGAGTTTGGGAATGGATTTATGTATCTCCAATACTAAGACTGCTTTCAGAGTGAACTAATGATTTTCCCCGAGCAAGGCTCGGTCCCCAGGTACTTAATTTGAACTAAAATAAATTCACTCTTTTTCAAAAACGAAGGCTGAAAAAATGTTTTTTACAGTTACTGCTTCAACTCATTCTCGCACAACTCGTCAATGTATTCAGTATTGTCGAACACGTAGTTCCGTGATGATACTTTTCTGGGTCCCCCGTTCATCAAGCATAAGATTGAATTGCGTGTGATTGTTTGGATATCCGGTTTTGCTGGCCACTGGTAGTTGATTCCATTCTAAGTCATGAAAGAAATAGTCACGTCATCATTTTCAATTTTAACAATTTTTCCTGTAAACAAGCAGATTTATCATAATTTTGTTGAGGGAAGCATTGACATTCATATGATTAATAACAGGCAACAAAAAATATTAACTGATTTTAAATCTGTTAAAACATGATGCACGTTGTCATTTTCAATTCTTACGATTTGTCCTGTAAACAAGCATTTTCAATACATTCAAAAAAAGAGTTAGGCATTTAAGTGTCACTAATATAAGAAAAAAGTGATTGAGTAGGGTACCTTTTACAGGTACGATTTAAATAAAATACGCAATGGCAAATACATATTTCTTACAGATAAAAAATTAATACCTTACCTGGATACCAATTAAAGTCATAGATAACAGCGACGTAGGATCCCATCTCTAGGAATTCGGGGATATCATTGCTTTGGTTAGACTCTGGTGTCTTCTTTTTCTCGAGTTCAATGGTGGTTTGTCCAGATATGCAAGTATTGTTACACCGTTCAAACATGCAAGAGGTGCATGGCAGTTCCCGAAGTTGTATTTCGTAGGGCTTTGTACTGGTCCAAGTGATCTGGTGTACCTTTTTGATTCCTGGAATTACATGAGGTTTTGCCCCAGCTAACAATCCTTGCCACTCGACAACTTTGTGGCTTTGTACCTCAAACAGCTCGATTGATTTACAGTTTAGTTTTGCCATTTCGATGAAGTCAGATGTATCTATGATGTCATTGCCTCTAAGAACTACACCATCAGCTGTACGTTTAAGAGTACCTCCGATGCCATCCATGGCACCTTTGCCATGCCCTGAAACAGAGAAATTCCAAGTCCACGACGTAATGCCAGGCCAAATATCAGGCAGCTTCTTCATTAAAAGATAAATGTTGTTCTTGTTTTTATATTGTGACGATGGCCCGTCTGATCTGAAATGGACAGTATCAACATTTGGATATTTTGTTTTAAGACAACTCACAATAGGCTCAAGGTGAGCCCAGACCGCATAAGCGTTATGGTCGAGATTTGATGACACAGTTGCGAATGATTGGTGACTTTTTGTTTTAACCCCATCTTCACCATTGGGACTTCTGGGAATGTCTGTAGACAACTACAGTATGAATAGATAGTTGCCTCTTTGAGGCTCCAAAGTGCATTGCTTGTATCTCTTCTGCGTGTTTTATCACATAATTTTCGGAAAAATCCATGTGGATCATGATTTCATTGGGAGTAAGGTTTTCCTTCAAGTGTTTCATTGATTTGTAATGGTAATGAATTTGGAAGATGTGAGGTCCCATGAAGCTCAAACTCTCGATGAATACTACCACAAGCTCCTTTATAGTGCACTCCACAGTTTTTTTCTCCATAATCCTTATTATTTTTTCTTTTCCTTTGATTGTCCTTGTTTCTTTTTTTTTTGGATCCATTTTTTGTAGGTTATCTTTGAATCTTCTTCTGGTAGGCGAAATTTCATTTTCGAAACGCAACTAGGGCACTTCCTATACATGCAGGATTTTTTTTCTACATCACAGCATGATTCTTCCATGACTTTTCTAATTGAGTTTAAGTCTAAAACGTTTATCTGGTATAGCTTATCAACGACAAACTGAAAGTTTGTGTGATGGATGCAAGCGCATGTTTCCCGGTCCGCCATCTTTGGTGCTACAATATAAAAAGGCTTTAGCTTGCAAAACATTGAATATGACAGTTTAATCCCTGGATATGTTTTTGTGAAACGTCCGTGTAGGTTTTTCATTGTATCCAGAAGGATCCTCTTCTGAATCTTGGTTTTTTTCTTCGTCCGTGTGTCTCTTTTACCAGGACACATTTTGCTGTTGATATCTTCTTCAAGAAATTGTTTTACTAGGTGTGAGTGGGGATGATTTTTCCTTCCTCGCTTGGTGTTTTGTCCCATCAGAGCCTTCCTGTATACTTTATACGACACAAAATTTTTGGCTTGGTTGATCATTCTATATTTTTTAAGATACGGCGAAGATACAAGATTTGATAATTCGTCTTTTTTCTTTGTATCTAAGTTGCTATCCGAAATCTTCTTTTCTAAGTTTGCAAGCACCGATTCAGCAAATACCAGTCTCCTTTTCACAGGAGTAGGTACATTTTTTCCTCCAGCTAGTTTTTTCACTTTTGTGTTGGGAGATGGAGATCCACAACTACCTGTTTTGAGCTGAAATCGTTGGGCTTGCTTTTTATAATTCTGGGATTTTGTTTTTTCAATTTTCAAAGCAAGTTCCATCCTTTTTAGTGCTCTGTACACTTTAGATCTATTCAAATTTTTTTTCTTCCTACCACTATTTTTTTTAGTTAGGACAACACGATCAGGCGGAAGACTCTGTGGACTCTCAGGAGGTGAATTGACAAGTAGTTCCTTTAAAAAATTTTCTCGTTCAGCCTTCCGCTTCCTGAAACGTTGCACCCTAATCCTAGTTTGTTTTCTTACTTTCCTAAGTTCCCGATCACTCATGGTCTCGACGGTTTTCCACGTATTCTCTTCTTTTTTCTTCTTTTTATACTTGCGGTCATATTCTTTTTTCAGTTCTTTTTGTACGTCTGTCATTCTCGCTCTCTGTTTTCTTTTTTTCTCCCTCTCATACATTCGTTTTTCTTCGATTGACATTTTTTTAGTTCGTCGTTTGCCTGCCATGATCTGAAAGTAGAAAATATTGTTGTAAATATCTGCTATGATTACATGAACACGCTATTTGAATAGCAAACTCTAAATCAGGGGTTCTCAGTCTTTTTGTCTGCGCGTACCACTTGATATTTAATTTTTATTTTTGGAGTACCAATACCTCAATTACTATTTAAGGAGGTGTTTATAAAAAATAAAAGTTTACATAAAGTACCGTATGTTTATTTTAAACAATTAAACACATAACACAAACCAATGTTAGTTAGATAGTATTTAATCAAAAATAAAGCAAGAACATTTGTTTCCAGAATTATAAAAAAACAGTATTGACTCCAAATTTGACAAATAAAACGTAAAACTAAAAGATAAACTAATAAATCAGTACCGGTAAATTATTTGACACTGATATCGCCAGTGTCAAAACGACTTAAATGACCTCAAAACATCAAAACAAAGAGAGAGATAGAGTGAGGGAGAGGGAGGGAGGGAGGAACGTCGAGACATGAGTCACATTCAACCAAGACTCGAGACGGCTGGACAGCTGACATGAAAGATGGTGCGGGTAGTGTACAGTCCAATCCAAAATTCCTGCTGAATATGTGATTTCTTAAACGTTAATAATGTTAAAAAAGCCCCTGAAAATGACGCAAATTACTATTTTTTTATAATGTCTTTTGTTTTTAAAAACCCATAATTTTGGATTTAATATGTAATTTTCGACCCTGGATATTGCCTATAAAAAAAAAAAAATATGTAGCTAGACTACAAATATTTCACAAAAAAGAAGATTAAAACTTAATTCACAACATCTAAAAGACGTAACGCCGGTCCAAGTAACGGCGGTCCCTAATAAAATATATTTTCCGATATTCAAGGACCGCCGTTACAGGGACCGCCGTTACAAAACATTAAATTATGAATTTTTACAAAATAACAGCTTTACTCAAGACAGCCATATTGGAACCCTAGTATTCGGTCTAGCTGCTTAATACAACGAAATAGTCCAAATTGTCTTGTATTAGCAGGATTCCAATTAACTAACGGGACAGAAGTTACATAATAAAAACATACGCAAGCATTTTTTATGAGTGTTTTTAATAATACAAAGAAATCATAGTATTTAAAAATATTTACCTGCCAAAAGTCAAGAGGTCGACTGCTCAGGTTCACGTTCCACCACTAACAGAAGCGCTATTCCTACTCTGGTGGCAGTGACGTGAACTAATTTCGTCGGGGACCGCCGTTACCATAAACCTGGGGACAGCCTAAAAAAATATCTAACACCCAAATGCGAAACCAGTTCATAAAATGCACCTCGGGTGGTCGTTTTAGACTATTTATTAAGAATGTTGTGCCCTATAACCGTTACTTTAAACAACGGTAACTACAAAAATCGTACCTTCAAACATCCGAAGGTACCATGGGGGACACGGGACCGCCGTTACATTTTAACATAGTTAACATTTTTTTTATTATGAACGACTTTTCTAAAAAATTCATTCAATGCCTGAACTTATGTCCAAAGTTGTATACTTTAATATTTTAACATGGTTGCAGCTTTAAATATGTTAATAATCTTGTAAAATCACAGGGACTTAAATTGTCCCGAATTAAAATATTGGCCCACATATTAGAAGTTGATATTACTAAAATGCCACAACAAATTAGGTTAAATTCACTGACACACAACTATGATTTTTATATGGTTCGTTATAAAACGCCCCCCACACACGGGAGAGCATGTTTGAGAGCCTGTTGGCGGACACGCTCGCGAACATGCTCGGCGTTTCCAACAGACGGTCGAGCATGCTGGCGAGCTTGCTTGCCGCCACACAGTACTCACTTCTCTCGTGCTGTGACAGCCCGACCAGCCGAGCGCCGAGCCCAGTATGCTCGCCGGTATGAAGGCTTGCAGACCCCACACACGAGCGAGCATGTTCACCTCCAACACCATCACGAAAATGCTCGCGAACATGTTTGCCCATGTATGGGGAGCCCAACCTTAGTAAACTTTATTCTAACAGCTGATGGTTAAGTAAATTGCAGACAAAAATGTAAACAAAAACTCAAAACAAATTATTGTTCCTTTATGAACTCCATGCTAACTTTGACCTTCTGTCATATTTTTGGCCTGTCAAAAGGTTTGGATAGTCATAGTTCTCTAAGTAGATAATTATTGTTATAATTCACATGTGTAAATTACTGTACATGAATAGTACTATCTAAAACTAAAACCAAGGCTTTAACTAAGATAAAACTACTTTCAAATCGTCCAAAGAACTCTAATATGTTTATCAACTGTACATTTTTTCTTTGTTTGTTAGTATACTGTAGCGTAGCCTCCTCTATACAAGGATGCGCCGAGACAAAAGTGGCGTTAATAATGTGAGAACTATGTAATAATAAGTGAGAAATAATGACGTTTTTATTAATTTAAAATAACTACGTAATATAGCTATATATTTTTGTTGTAGACAGAAAGGGACTTCAAAATCTCTAAAAATTTGTCAGCTGTTGATCTCACGCAATCTACCTCTTACGAAAACTGTTACATAAGCAGCTGGTCTATAAACGTAAGTATTTCTCTCAATCAATACTTATTTGTGTTGTTTTTTAACCATTGGTTATATCTGAAGAAATTTTCAATGAGGTATAGAAGAGTTGGTATCATAAAAAAAAACTTGAACTAAATTTTGAGACCGAGAGGCTAACTACTAGGCTAGCAACACCCAATGTTCATGATTATTGATTTGATTGAGTTTGGGTGGACTTTGTCGAAAGACATATGAAAAAATTTTTTTTGAATAAATCACACATACTGTTGCTGCAGTCTGAAATAGAAATTAAATGTCTAGTTACATTGTCAATGTCACACATAAACTACACACAATTATTTCTCACAAATTTAGGTCCATATCAAAACCGTACCGAGCTTGTTTTATTTTTTGTATCAAGTTTTTTCTTAGGGAGGTTGATGGCCTCCCCTAGCCCCCTCTGTGTAGGCCCATGTCCTGAATGTATGCAATTAATTAAACAAAACTGAGGATATGTACCTAACAAAAATGTGCTTCAATTATAACCATTATGATTTTTTTTTTAGGATACGGTGTCAGAGTTACTATACAGCCAAGTGTCTGTGAACTCGCATTGTCAAACCGATACCGACCAAATTTTCTGTGCAGGAGATGTGTCTGATGTGGTAGGTTAATTTCATCACCATTTAGCTTATTTTGATATCTCTTATAGTTTTTGAATAAAACAGCGGGCACACTTATATCAATCACCCTGTATAAGACCGCCCAGGCCCCCTAAATGTTAGGCGGGGTGAAGGGGCGTGATTGTCTTGAAATGCCTAGAAGCGTTTTTTAGAAAGTTTTATTCCTGACCATGGATATTCTTGCAAATCTTTGCTAGATCCGTTTTCGAGTTGTAGAAGCTAAAAAAAGCGTTAGGTAGTTTCGGAAGTGGGGGGGGGGGTTAAGTCTTAAAAATAGAGCTATAAAAATTGTCGGTACCGATTTACTCTTTCCTTTTTGATGTCCCCAGAGGCCAAAAACACCATTCGTTCAAATTTTCATGTGTATATATGATAACTTGAGTAATTTTTGTCTAATTTTGTTGACGGTGTAAGGCAGGATAAACTTGAATGAGTTCGCGAACCAGCATGATCGGACCATTGGAACGAGGTTTTACGAGGGTAAAAAATTGTTTCTCTCATTATTGACCCTCAAAACACAAAATTTTCCAATTTCTCTCTAGACCTTTTTAAAAGGCTAGAATAACAAATAGTATATCAAACGGTTTTTGTACAGTTATAAGTAACGGAAAATTTTAAAAATGTATTTATTTAATTTTAAAATTCTAAAAATTGTTAATTTAAAATTCCCATGTTACTCTTATGGAGAATATTGTAAAATGTTGTAATTTGCTTGTTTATGGTTATATTTTAATCTAACACCGCAAATTTATTATTGTATACTAGGTAAGCTATTTATATTTTATCAAAAACCCCACTTTAACAGTTTCCTTGTACAGCAAACCTAGGTACTCGTTAAACCTAATGTTATTTAAATAGATTAAATTGAAAATCAATTCAGACAAATGGAAGTTTGACTAGTTGGCAGGTTTGCTGCAGGGGTATTTAACTAAAAAAAAAAAACATTTAAAAACCTCAAAACCCCACAACACAACCATAAGATCTCATGACCCAATCTTGGCCATGGGTAGAATCAATCTTTCTTGTCAACATTCGCCCAAGCTGTCCACCAATTACTCAAAGTGGTTAAGAATTAATTGTAAATTTTTGTTTTATAGTCCTTTCACATGCAAAGTATTACCTAAAAACAACCAAGCCATAAAAATATCTAAAAAATATTAAATATATAGTTTTCATTATGATGCAGGATGACAGAGGGAGTCCTCTTGTGTGCAATGGAGTGCTCAAAGGAATCATACCAGGTGTACCAGATATTGGACTCTTTACCAACATATCAACAAACTATAATTGGATAGTCAATCCATCATCATCAACAACAACATCTACCACTGAAAAAACCACCACAACATCAACCAGACTACCAACTACCACAACATCTACACCTGAACCAACTACCACAACATCTACAGCTACACCAACTACCACAACATCTACAGCTATGCCAACTACCACAGCATCTACAGCTACAACAACCATCTTAACATCTACAGCTGAACCAATTACCACAACATCTACATCTACATCTACAGCTACACCAACTACCACAACATCTACAGCTATACCAACTACCTCAACATCTACAGCTATACCAACTATCTTAACATCTACAGCTGAACCAATTACCACAACATCTACAGCTACAGCTACACCAACTACCACAACATCTACAGCTATGCCAACTACCACAACATCTACAGCTATGCCAACTACCACAGCATCTACAGCTACACCAACCACATCAACAACAACATCTACATCTACAGCTACACCAACTACCACACCATCTACAGCTATGCCAACTACCACAACATCTACAGCTATGCCAACTACCACAGCATCTACAGCTACACCAACCACATCAACAACAACATCTACCACTGAAAAAACCACCACAACATCAACCAGACTACCAACTACCACACCATCTACATCTATGCCAACTACCACAACATCTACAGCTATGCCAACTACCACAGCATCTACAGCTACACCAACCACATCAACATCTACATCTGAACCAATAATTACAACATCTACATCTACAGCTACACCAACTACCACAACATCTACAGCTATACCAACTACCTCAACATCTACAGCTATACCAACCACCTTTACATCTACAGCTGAACCAATTACCACAACATCTACATCTACAGCTACACCAACTACCACACCATCTACAGCTATGCCAACTACCACAACATCTACAGCTACACCAACCACATCAACATCTACATCTGAACCAATTACCACAACATCTACATCTACAGCTACACCAACTACCACAACATCTACAGCTATGCCAACTTCCACTACATCTACAGCTACACAAACCACATCAACATCTACATCTGAACCAATAACTACAACATCTACAGCGGAACCAATTACCATAACGTCGACAGCTACACCAACTACCTCATCATCTACAGCTACACCAACTACCACAACATCTACAGCTACACCAACTATCACAACATCTACAGCTACACCAACTACCACAACAACTACAGTTACAACAACCACATCAACATCTACAGCTGAAACAACTACCACAACATCTACAGCTACATCAACTACCTCAACATCTACACCTGAAACAAGTACCATAACATCTACAGCTGAACCAATTACCACATCATCTACAGCTGAACCAATTACCACATCATCTACAGCCACGCCAACTACCACAAAACCTACAGCTACACCAACCACCTCAACATCTACAGCTGAACCAATCACCACAACATCTACATCTACAGCTACACCAACTACCACAACATCTACAGCTACATCAACTACCACAACTACTACAGCTACACCAACCACCTCAACATCTACAGCTGAACCAATTACCACAACATCTACATCTACAGCTACAGCTACACCAACTACCACAACATCTACAGCTATGCCAACTACCACAACATCTACACCTGAAACAAGTACCATAACATCTACAGCTGAACCAATTACCACATCATCTACAGCTGAACCAATTACCACATCATCTACAGCCACGCCAACTACCACAAAACCTACAGCTACACCAACCACCTCAACATCTACAGCTGAACCAATCACCACAACATCTACATCTACAGCTACACCAACTACCACAGCATCTACAGCTACACCAACTACCACAACATCTACAGCTACACCAACCACATCAACATCTACAGCTGAACCAATAACTACAACATCTACAGCTGAACCAATAACCATAACGTCTACAGCTACACCGACTATCACAACGTCTACAGCTACACCAACTACCACAACATCAACAGCTACACCAACTACTACAACATCTACAGCTACTCTAACTACCACAACATCTACAGCTACACCAACCACATCAACATCTACAGCTGAACCAATAACTACAACATCTACAGCTGAACCAATAACCATAACTTCTACAGCTACACCGACTATCACAACATCTACAGCTACACCAACTACCACAACATCAACAGCTACACCAACTACCACAACATCTACAGCTACTCTAACTACCACAACATCTACAGCTACACCAACCACATCAACATCAACAGCTGAACCAATTACTACAACATATACAACTGAACCAATTACCACAACATCTACATCTACAGCTACACCAACTACAATAACATCTACAGCTATACCAACTACCTCATCATCTACAGCTTCCCCAACTACCACAAAATCCACAACAATACCAATCACCTCAACATCTACAGCTGAACCAATTACCTCATCATCTACAACTCTAACAACCACCACAATATCTACCACCAAACCAACTGCCACAACATCCATAACGCTACCAACCACCGCAACATCTAGACATCCTGATATCTCGACAATAACATCTTCTGGAACACCTATGTCATCTACATCTGAAACAATTTCAACTGATGTCTTTACTTCAAGTCCTGATGTCTCAACATTGTCATCTTCTGTAACGCCTACAACTACAGATATGTCGTCCACATCTGAAACAATTTCAACTGATGTCTTTACTTCAAGTCCTGATATCTCAACATTGTCATCCTCTGTAACACCTATAACTACAGATATGACATCCACATCTGAAACAATTTCCACTGATGTCTTTAGCTCAAGTACTGATTTCTCAACATTGACATCTTCTGTAACACCTATAACTACAGATATGTCATCCACATCTGAAACAATTTCCACTGATGTCTTTAGCTCAAGTACTGATTCCTCAACATTGACATCTTCTGTAACACCTATAACTACAGACATTTCATCCACATCTGAAACAATCTCCACTGATAATTTTAGCTCAAGTCCTGATGTCAGTACAACCACATCTTCAACAACATCAGTAACAGACTCATCACTAACAATTACGACAGGCACAACTTCAAATACAACCGTACCAACTGTTACAAGGGGAACGACTACTTCAAACATGCCTGTTTCTACAACAGATTCTACTATAATTACCAGAATATTACCTACAACAAGCCTGGAGACATCTGTGACTGCAACAACTTTAAGTTCGGTGGAATCGACAAGTGCTTCTCCTACGACATCATCAAAAACAAATTTTTGGGAGAGATATGCTGTAAAAGAAATAGTTATTGTTGGGGCCTTAACGTGTGTTTCAGTGTTTTCTATTTTATATTGTTTTATTAAATTATTACCACCAATTACATAATTTTAAAAATTATATTCTAAATTATTCAGATGGTAACCACCGAAGGCGTGAACAATTTCTACAATGTCTGTATGCAAAATTTGGTTGTTGGCCACATTTTTAGACCCAATCTGAAGAAAAAAACTTTATGCGAAACACAAATATTTTGTTTAACAAAAACATATAGTCTCATTGCTCTCTCTGAGAAACATATATTAGTTCAGGTTCTATGTGAATTCTATGTGATTTTCTAGTATTAATACTTAAAATATAAATGTAAACGAAATTATAAGTCTAGTCTTGGTAACAGAAATGCAAATCGGAATTTTGCTTATTAGTGTCATGACACTCAGCCTATTTGAAATGCTTTCTTTTCTAATGTAGTGTGCATTTCATAAAGGATCTCACTAATTCAAAATGTCTTTAATATCCCAAAGAAAATACCTCACTCAATCTACAATTAATTCAATTAGTGAATTAAGTTTATTTTATATTTACTTAATATTTAATTGCTGTTAATTGTAAATAACTCTGCTTTTATATTTTGGATAAATTAAAGTATTTTTAATTTTGTAGAAATGTATTTTTTTTACATACCATTATTTATTTTATTTACCTAATCTTTATGGGTTACATTTGTTTATTATTTTTTTCATAAAAATAAACATAAGTTAGAATCACATTGTACATTGACTATGTTTGAGTCAAAACATAGTCATGTACAATGTGATTCTAACGTATGTCTATTTATATTAAAAAAAAAAAAACAATAAAAAACGGTGTCCTATATACAAAAATAATCTACAAAAAATTCTAAACAAGAATGGCTTCCTTCATACTTTTGATAGAGTAAACCGTTACAGAGTTACAAAATCTTAAAATTGACATTTTTCAACCATAACACTTTAAAAATTCCGGAGGCAGCTAAATATTTTAAAAAATAATATAGATATAGAGCTACAAAACTTGGAACAAAGTCCCTGGACATCAAAATAATTTTAGTTTATTGTTTAGTGATTTTATTACTACCTTCTCAGGGGAACATCTGCTAGGAATCAGAATAAAATCTTAAAGGTATAAGTGTCATTCATAACAAACCATTGTCCAGCTGGTTTTAAACAGTCTTTTTGCTGCACTCGCCACAGTACCCCCTAGCTGCTAATGATTTAACTTAAGAAAGTCATGATACTTGAAATCAAACGGGAAAGCGTACATGTCATTCAGATTTTGTTTGAATCGCTCAATCAATTTAATGGACTTGAAACTAGTCATGGATGGTTGGTTGAGATCTTTAGGATCATCCATGACTCATTGATCATAACTTCCTGTCATATTTTATGCACATCCATTGTTCTTGTACTCAGTAAAAAAGTATGCCGGTTTGAGTCGATCCATTGCAACTGTGATATTGCTACCCACAGCAATCTTGGCAGTCTTGGTAGTTCTGGTGATAATGAGGTAAGGACGAGAGTATATAGAGGTTGGAGAGCTCCCTTAATTGGGGATGTCAGTCAGCACAAAGACATCTGAGCAAGTAGTAAGGTGCCACCATGCCTAGTTCTACTGATTGGACGCAGGTTGTTTAAGTGAAAACGTAGGCTCTTCACGAAGTTTGGTGGATCCAGTTGATAATCATCATGGCTTTGTGTCGTAAATTCTCCAGGAAGTCGTAGAGGTTGACCCTGTACCACACACTACAGGAATATTGCAGTTTGATATTACTGTCAGAAGTATGTGTTTTCTGTTTTGGTACCCAAGTTCTGCAGAGGAAGCTTGCATATCTTCACGCCATACACAGCTCTGATCCCCATCAGAATCACTGGCAATACCTCGAGTCCATTGGCAGCAGGATGATAGGCCAGTTTTTCGCAGACAGGTTGATCCGGTTAACTTTGTTTACTTTGCTGAAAAAGAGACTATTCAAATTGTTTACATTGATCCATATGGTTATTCACAGTGGTGTCAAAACCTTGAAATCCAGTTTGTGAACAATGTGTGAGGTAGTTTCAGATTCTATGTTCACAAGTGGAACTGCTTCAGGCCAACGGCCAACGTAAAAATCTGTCAACACAAGTCAAACAATCCCTGTTAACTTCCAAAACAGGTACTGTAATGGGCCAACTATATCAATATGGATGTGTTACAAGATCAAACGTATCAACTTGGGTTGAATTGGGACGACTTATCTTTGACTTCTGACAAGAAAGGCAGGAACGAGCCATAGAACAACAGTCTGATTTCATTGAAGGGCAAACGGCCAAATGAAACTTTGGCTTACAAGTTTTGACCGTCTCATTGGAAAGAGCGGGTCGCGTAGATTTGCAAACTGGCCTTACATTTTTGAAAAAGAAACCTTGGTCTCTGCCCCAGCGGCTTTTAAAGATCCCATGTTATCCTTATGAAGAACATAATTGTTTACATTTTGATCAGCTGTATAATTTAATTGCTGTTATTTATTTTTCCTACAGTCACCCGACAAAGTTGGCTTCCTTGTACTGTTTATAGTACAGAAAGCTGCTAATTGCTGCATATTTATACTTTGCCGTACGGTTTATACTTTGCCGTACGGTTTATACTTTGCCGTACGGTTTATACTTTGCCGTACGGTTTATACTTTGCCGCACATCAGGATTCCAACAAAACAACACAAAACATCGTGGTTCCATTATGCACGTAATCCGTGTACGCTTGGAAATAGGTTGGCAACACTTAAAGATAATTATACTATGAGCAGTTGATTGACTATTATAACTACGATTTAACCTGTCATTTCGTGTTTATAGTTTCGGTATTTCTGAACTTTCTGGACTTTTCTTTTAAACGTTTTTAAAACCTTCCTACGATCTTAATAAACAAGAAAATACCTTTTAAGCATTTTTTTAGGCACGGAAACCACTTCAAATTACAAAAACATACGGAACTATATTCTCAAAACGCGGAGCACATTTCTTGCCGAGGAAAAATAGCGGAGTGATATGGACCGCGGGTACTACTTTCTCTAGGGCACCATTTGTGTTGCCAGCTGAACCTAAAAACGTGTTGCATAGTGTTTGAAAGACTAATTATTTATATGCTTTATAGTGACTGTAGGAAAAATATAATGTGTAACACGAGTGAAAAAGGCCTTTGCTGCACTCGAGATCATTCCACACTCGCCTGCGGCTCGTGCGTAAACATTGCTCTCGTGTGCAGCAAAGTGCCACTTTCACCACTAGTTACACAAATAACTATTTCAATTCAACAAAACGCGGGTACATTTACTGATTTTGATTAAATTACATGTTTTCTATTTTATTTTACATTCGTACATATTATAATGTAAAAAATCAAGAAAGCCTGGACAATCTAAAAAGGTTTAGCAAATAAGAAAAATGAATTGACATAGTACTGTATTTCTTGAGCAATCATTAAAAGAACCAATTTGTTATCAATAGCAACACAGGAAAGTATTAGAACGCCACCAAGTAGAAAAAATTAAGATAATATCAATACAATAATATGACTACATCCAAGAAACCTTAATAAAACTTTCATTGAAGGATTTGCATTATTCACATTTAAGGGAAACCATCTGAACAACATTAGGCCTTCAAATTCAGGATTTTTTCAGATAAATATAACTTTACGTTATAACTGTAACCAGCCAAATTAATGCCAATTGAAGCAAATAAAATTGTGACAGAGAGGTTATGCAGAAAATCAAGCAGTTCTTAAGTTATGTAAACAAAATGTTATCGCTATAAAAAAATGACTGATATTTAGTAAACGTAAACTGGCGACAATGGGTAGTGCTAATGTAGACTACATTATCATTGACAAAGATCAACATGGACAACCTAATGTGGCTATAAGTAGGAAACATTTGTAGAATACACTAAAACCCAGATCAGCTTTTGAAAAATGATCAAATACCGTATTTACAAGAAATGTTGATTATATTGATTATAACTGTTATGTACGTAATCTATGAGTTGAGTCTTTTAAAGTCACAGGAAATTATGACTTTGATTCGTTTTTAAATAAGTAATTTTTTTTTACCCTTCCCGGACGGGCGAAATCGTGACATAGAACGGGGGAAAAAATAAATTTCTCTTATTTGTGTTTTGTTTGGCAAGTACACATGAAATACACACAATGGAACACTTCATACTGTCAAAATAATTTTTTACTTGTTTTTAACTATGCGGATATATCCGCTACCCGTCTGCGGATGAGTAAAAAAGCAGCGGATATATCCGCAACCCGTCTTTGAAGATATAAACATGACAACGTTAGGCAATAAATAAAGAACAATATGTAAACAATAAATAAAGACAACGTAGTGTTGAGCACGAAACGTCGAGGGGGGAGCGTAGGAGAGGTGGGTGGTGGGTAGTGCGTGGGAGAGGGGGTGACGTGGGAGAGGGGTAGGCGCTGGTGAGATGGGGGAGTGCGGGAGAGAGCGCAGCCATGGAGAGAGCAGGAAAGTGACGCCTTGGTACCGCGAAACATCTGGTTACTGCTCAAGCACCTGCCAGTCTGTCTGAATAGTAGGCGGATATATCCCGCTTCCCGTCCGGAACATCAAAAACCATAAGCGGATATATCCGCCACCTATCCTTTATCGCCAAAGACTTAGGTAGATATATTCGTCACCCGTCCGGAAAGAGTTAAATAACTACTTTGATTCATTGCAACTGCTCGATTTTGAACAACATGTACACTAGTTGTAAATGTATTACAAAGTGAGTTTTAATTGTCCCCCACTCCACAACTTTTTTCAACATTTTTTCAAACATCAATCCCACTACCGGTACCACTTCCAAACATTGTTGGGTAGTAAGTACTGTACTTAATTTGACAAGGTGGTTATTTCCGGCCGCCATCTTGGATGAAAAATCTTTTTTCTGATGTAAATAAAGGTGGGGTTGTGACCCACCTTTGCGGCGACCTTAGGTTCATCAATTTAAATTTGAATTAATAAGACGAGAATTAATGGGCTGGTGTCACCTCTCTTCCATATTATCTTCTGGGAAGTTTGGCGATAAACACTACTTGTGACGTAGCCAATTCTACCAGGCCGCGGCCTGGAGTTAGGTGGTTGTGCCCCACCCATGGCCGCCTTTAACTCCGCGGCTTTCGAAGTGGCAACGTCGCAAGTGGTGTTGTAACAGCTGTTTTTTTGGAAGCAGCTAATGGTATTTGTGTATTTACGATAGATTGGTTACTGGACTATGGCAATATTGATTCCACTTAAAATGTACAGATATAGGTTTTTAATCCATATTGTTTTTAGTTTTCAATTCTGTATGTTCTATTTTCAAAATTTTAATAAATTTATGTCCATAAATTGAAATTGAAATCAATAAAGTGCGAATTACTGAGCTGATATCACCTGTCTGACATGTTATCTTATGACACGTCTTGTTACTAAATTCTGCCAATTCTGCCAGGCCGCGGCCTGGGACCCATTTCATAATAAACTACAAGTTACAACTTGTAACTTGTAATTTCCATTAGATTTGCATTGGGCGATCAGCTGATTTACTAA